GTCCTTTGTCCTTCAAATGTAAGTAGACTGCAGAGTCTTGACCTGAGGAGTTGGCCCTTCTGTGGTGAGCCATGCGTTTGTGTAGTGGTTGTTTAGTCTCCCCAGTATAGAGGTCTGGACTGCACTGGACAGCATACGCTAGATTGAAGGGGAGCGCTACATAGCCCTCGAAACGGAGATTTTTCAGAGGCGTCTTCGTATAATTTATGATTACCATGGCTTGCGCTTTCTGGCTTTTAATCTTGACCCAGGTGGAGTTGAGGGCTTTGTTCTCCACTTCTTCCATGTAGATGTTCGCCACAATCGGGGATCCCGTGAGCCCATCGCACAGCCATGCTTCTGTCTGTAGATCCTCTGTGGTACTGGAAATAGGTGGTGTTTAGACAGAGGTCCAGTAGTTTACAAATCATGTGAAAAAGGAGGTCACAACATAGGACACCGTGGTTACATCTGGGTCCAGTTTCGGTCCTTGAACTTTGTTCACATAGTCAGTGGATGTTTGGATGTGGTGAGGCATGTTTCCGACAGTAGATATGTGTGTGTGGGTTATGTTGATGTGTTAGAAGCAGGAAAAATGGGCAGCGAGAGGATTTAAGCCTCTTTGACAAGGACCAAACTGTGATGGCGAGACAACTGGGTCAGAACATCTCCAGACCGGTCTGCAGAGGTCAGAACCAGAAGTGGTCCGAGGCTATAAGGCTCATTGATGCACGTGGGGAGTGAAGGCTGGTCCGTGTGGTCCGATCCAACAGATGAACTACTGCAGGTCAAAGTGCTGAAGGAGTTGATGCTGGTTCTGATAGAAAGGGGTGAGAACACACAGAACATCACGGTGGAGTCCATGGAGGGGAGTTCTGACTCTGAGTTCCTGTACTTTTCTTGAGGCAGAGTCACTTTCTGTAGGCTGTCCCTGTTGCAGCAGCTGACTGGTGAAATTAGCTTCCTGCTAACAGCTGAACATTCCTGTGATGCAGCGTGTGGTTAGGAGTTAGCATGAAGCTAACAGCTGCTAAAGATACATTTCTTAAAGTTTAATTTGGATCAGCTCGGATGCTGTAAGAAAACTCCGCTGACTGAGCTCAGAGCAGCTGCAGTGTTCTCTGATAGAACAGAGGTTCTATCTGAAGTCCTCGTATCGGGTCTGAGTGCAGCGTTACACAGAGTCGCCACAGCGTTCACTTCATGTGGTATCTAACAGGGCAGCCAACTTTTCAGTTTAGTTTGGAGGTCACATCCCAGTGCAGGGGTCGGGGTCATCACTCTTTAATCCTCAGGACGTTTGTTTAGAAAGTTCAGCAGCCACATGAATGTGTAGATGAAAAGCCAATAATCACGGTCAGATCAGTGTGATCAGGATACTCGGTAGCCTTAATGTTGACCAAACCTAACCAGGTATAGGACAGTCTTCCCCCAGAATCTGTGCGTCAAACCAGAGACCGTATTTATTTTAATTCTAGAGAATGTATGGAATATTAAAGTTCATAATAAGCAAGAGCGCAGGTTTTCCTTTGGCAACGGAGGAGCCACTTAATTATGCGGGGGAGCAAATTTGTAGCATTAAACACATAAATTCCTGCATTCTGCAGAATTTTTCTGCATCAATTTATGGTGTAAATGTCTTTATCTAGGCTATGTCAACGGAAACACAAAACCCAGGCAGCAGGTGACAATTTAAAATATCAAATATAATTCAGTAGGTGTTTGGCTTTCAATCATTCTGTATTTCTCTTTCTTTCATGGTTTAGTCCTCCCTCCTCTTTGTGTCTTTGTTTGGGAAAGTTTCTCTTTAAATGTGGCCTCTTTTCACCTCGAGGATAAATTCATTCATTTTAATTAGAAACTCCTGGACTGAATGCTCAAAACGTTTTGCATCTATCCCACATACCTGTGTAACCTGACATCTCCAGAAAGATTTCTACGAGAAAAAACTTTCTACAATGTTATGATGTTGGATGTTAATAATGAGGTTAAAGTATTTAAAGAAACCTCAGATTTCCTCCTGTTCTGAACGCTCTGTTTGCTTTTTCTACCAACGGCTCCGACACACACCAGCCGCTGTTCCATATATGGTCAGGTGCTCCCACGGCAACGCTCAGTCTGCCTGTTCCGCCCGGCGACAACAACAGCCTGGTAACATGCTTCAGGTCTTGGCCAATCAGAAGACAGTGGGCTTTGAGAGGGGGGGCCTTAAAGACACAGGAGCATCTACAGCTTGTTTCAGACAGAGGCTGAAATGAAGGCCTACATGAAGAGTAGGTATAAGACAGAAATAATTTTTCTGAACTTTGAATCAGGCAAGGCTGCCATGCAGGAGTCACAGACCTACTATATAGGACTGGAACAGCAGTATAATAAGTCTCCCCGCCCTGTAATCTGCTGTTCATTACTTGCTCTGCTGATAGAAGCCCAGACGGACAGACGCAGAACCCATGTGAAAAGTGTCAGTTGCTTGCGCAATGCGTGAGAGTTGGCAGCTCTGATTTAAAGAAGAGCTGTCGTACAACAAACAGCCAGTAACACCTACACCTGTGTGTGTGTGTAGCTGTTGTGTATTTTAGAGCAGACCGGCCTGCAGACTGAAGGGATTCTCAGAGTACCGGGATCAGCTGCCAGACTGAAGGTAAGCAAACACACGTGGCCACATCTTTTCTGTGTTGATTGAGCTGTTGGATCTTCCTGGAGGATGCACTGTGTGCTGCTGTGGAACTGAGTGGTGTATCTGTTATTTTGTCAACCCCGTGTATATCAGTGAGAGCGGACTAATTAACAGAAACATCGTCGTCTGCAGATTATTTGTGATGTCTGGTGGAAACCTTACAGCGATCCTAAGACTGATTCACCAGCACCAAACCCAACGTCCACTTACAAGCTGTTTCCTGAGCTTTCCACTGTTACCACACTGTCTTCATCTGTGGATTGAGTCTGCTCAGTTGTCGTGGAGACAGGTCTGTTGACACGCAGACTCAATAACTGTCTGTCTGTCTCTCTCTCTGCCTGTCTGCAGTACCTGCGCAGAGAGATAGACAGGTGTTGTGGAAGGTTCGACTGGTCTGCGGTGAGACAGGTTGACGCTGCAGGTCTGCTGAAGCTGTTCATCAGAGAGCTGCCGACACCTCTGCTGACACACACGCACCTGTCCACCTACCGCTGTGTGCTGGGTACGCACACACACACACACACAGTGTGCAAACACGCCTCTGTCTCACCTGGATCTGTTTCTCACCTGGATCTGTGTCTCACCTGGATCTGTGTCTCACCTTCTCACCTCCCTACACTTAACACAGCCTTTCCATCATAACCGGCTGAGGCCTGGTGCTCAGAAGTCGTCCCACAGCAGAACCACAGAACGAACCTTTCATCTTAAGAACGCACACACCAGCCAGTTCAGTCCAGACCAGGACCACACACTCAGCATTTATACTAAACGGTTTCAGAGTGGCGGTGAGGGTTTAGGGTACACTAGTCAATTACTAACTGACTGACTGAATTAACCAACATGTGAAAGGGTCAGGTTAAAGTAAATATCACTAACCTGGTCCAGTCCCTAGTGGCCGGTCTGAGCATGGTCCAGTCCCTAAAGGCCCGTCTAGGCATGGTCCAGTCCCTAGAGGCCGGTCTGAGCATGGTCCAGTCCCTAAAGGCCCGTCTAGGCATGGTCCAGTCCCTAGAGGCCGGTCTAGGCATGGTCCAGTCCCTAGAGGCCGGTCTGAGCATGGTCCAGTCCCTAGTGGCCGGTCTGAGCATGGTCCAGTCCCTAAAGGCCCGTCTAGGCATGGTCCAGTCCCTAGAGGCCGGTCTAGGCATGGTCCAGTCCCTAGAGGCCGGTCTGAGCATGGTCCAGTCCCTAGAGGCCAGGCTAGGCATGGTCCAGTCCCTAGTGGCCGGTCTGAGCATGGTCCAGTCCCTAGAGGCCGGTCTGAGCATGGTCCAGTCCCTAGAGGCCGGTCTAGGCATGGTCCAGTCCCTAGTGGCCGGTCTGAGCATGGTCCAGTCCCTAGAGGCTGGTCTAGGCATGGTCCAGTCTCTAGTGGCCGGTCTGAGCATGGTCCAGTCCCTAGAGGCCAGGCTAGGCATGGTCCAGTCCCTAGTGGCCGGTCTGAGCATGGTCCAGTCCCTAGAGGCCGGTCTGAGCATGGTCCAGTCCCTAGAGGCCCGTCTAGGCATGGTCCAGTCCCTAGAGGCCGGTCTGAGCATGGTCCAGTCCCTAGAGGCCGGTCTAGGCATGGTCCAGTCCCTAGTGGCCGGTCTGAGCATGGTCCAGTCCCTAGAGGCTGGTCTAGGCATGGTCCAGTCTCTAGTGGCCGGTCTGAGCATGGTCCAGTCTCTAGTGGCCGGTCTAGGCATGGTCCAGTCTCTAGTGGCCGGTCTGAGCATGGTCCAGTCTCTAGTGGCCGGTCTGAGCATTGTCCAGTCCCTAGAGGCCGGTCTATGCATGGTCCAGTCTCTAGAGGCCGGTCTAGGCATGGTCCAGTCCCTATTGGCCGGTCTGAGCATGGTCCAGTCTCTAGTGGCCGGTCTATGCATGGTCCAGTCTCTAGTGGCCGGTCTAGGCATGGTCCAGTCCCTATTGGCCGGTCTGAGCATGGTCCAGTCTCTAGTGGCCGGTCTGAGCATGGTCCAGTCTCTAGTGGCCGGTCTAGGCATGGTCCAGTCCCTATTGGCCGGTCTGAGCATGGTCCAGTCTCTAGTGGCCGGTCTGAGCATGGCGTCTTGTTTAACCTGCTGTCCTTGTGTTTCTGCAGGTATCCCATCTGTGGTCCATCAGGTCCAGGCTCTGCAACTGCTGCTGCTGCTGCTTCCTGAAGCCAACAGAGACACGTTCAAAGTAAATCCCAACACTTGCACCACACCACATCCTCAGGACATTGGTCTGAGGCTGATGCCACCGCTGCAGGTATTAACAGATAAACATGGACTTGTTTCTCTGGTTACAGGCACTGCTGGTCTTCCTGCAGAAGGTGGTCTCTCATCAGGAGCAGAACCGGATGTCTCTGTGGAACGTCTCCATGGTCATGGCGCCCAACCTGTTCACCTGCCATCACCATGGCAACAAGTGCTCCATCGCTAAACAACAGGAGGAGATGGAGGAGGCGGTAGGCGGGGCTCACCTGGTCCGACTGATGATCACACACCAGGATCTGCTGTGGACCGTGAGTCCTAGAACACACACCCGCACATCCTCAGTGACAACTCTGTCCTAGCTATCAGTGACATCACTTCCTGTTTTCTGTGGTAGATCCCCAGCTTCCTGCTGTCTCAGGTGAGACAGATGAATCAGGCGTCCAATCAGAAACAGCTCGGCCTGACCAAGAGACTACTGCTGAGGAGAAAGAACGACAAGAACGAAAGGAATCAGGTGAGACAGAGACCAGGTCAGACACAGAACCAGGTCAGACACAGAACCAGATCAGACATAGAACCAGGTCAGACAAGACAACCAGGTGAGACACTGAACCAGAGAACCATTAGCACTTTGGGATTTGCTTAAATATAAAGTGCATTACAAATTAAATGTATTATTATTATTATAAGAACCAGGTGAGACACAGAACTAGGGAACCATGAGACATGAACCAGGTCAGACAAGACACCCAGGTAAGATGTGAACAAGGTGAGACCAGAGAACTAGGTGTGACACAGAACCATGTCAGACAAGAGAACCAGATGAGACACAGAACCAGCTGAGACAAGAGAACCAGATGAGACACAGAACCAGCTGAGACAAGACACCCAGCTAAGACATGAACTGGGTCAGACAAGACACCCAGGTGAGACACAGAACCAGGTCAAACCAGGGAACTCGATGCGACACAGAACCAGGTCAGATCAGGGAATAAGGTGAGACACAGAACCAGGTGAGACAAGAGAACCAGGTGAGACAAGACACCCAGGTTGGACATGAACTAGGTCAGACAAAAGAACCAGGTAACACAGAACAAGATCAGACAACTAAGAGATGATAAGACCTATTCTGATTATTGATTATTGAACAGCAGCACATCATTATCTCTGCATCATTTTTGACCGTTCTGGTTCCAGGATTCAGCAGATTATGTAGCCCAGATGTGAGTCTCCCATACCACATCCTAAATCTCTTTCTGGATGATGAGCTGTTCTCAGGCTTGATGAGATATTTAATCACTCTGGTGGGCTCTGGGTTCGCCCTGAACCAGTTACACATTACCTGGAAAACATCTAAAGGGAGGTAGCTAAAATTATACTCCTTTCAACACGAAGGGACAATGGTTCTCCTCTGAGCTCCTCACTCTGTCTCTAAAGCCAAGCCCAGACGCCCTGCAGAGGAAACCCAGGATCCACCCAGAGACTAGGACCACAGCTGATAACTGGAATAGAGATCCACTGGTGAATCCAGAGCTTCACCTTCAGGACCTTGTGGTGAATCTCATCCCCACCAGATGCAACCGCAGAGCTGTTTAACTGCCTCGGTGACCTCTACTACAATATGACATACTTTGTATATATTCTGGGCTCAGTGATTCCCCCCCGACACAATAAAGTATATGTATCGTATCGTAGCAGAGGTCACAACTCTGCATTGGCATCAGGTGTGGATGAGATTCACCAGGTTGTCTTAGTTGATCCTGAAGGTGAAGCTCTGGATTATTGTCTACTAGAGTCTTCAAGTTCTGCCTCTTCTTTGGAGGACAGGTCAGTCTGGCGCTGGAGTTCCTCAGTGTTCCTTCCACCATCTGTCCTCAGTCTGGTTCACCTCCTTGCTGAAAACAGGATGGACTGGGTCCTGCCTCCCCCCTCCTTGAATTTGACCTACTCAGACTGCACGTCACCCACCTCTCTAGCTCACCCTCAGTTACCCTTTCTGTCCATCCGCTGATCATCACCAGGTGGTTCGTCCACAGCTACAGATCTGATGACTACACAGCCAATCAGCTGTTCTGGTTCCAGGTGCACCTAAGGCTGATTCATGCTTTCTGCATCAACATGGCCACAAGAGTCTGTGTGACGTAAAGTCCGTCATCCGTCCATGTTCGCTGAACGCCCAGATTGACTGTCCAGACTGTACGCACTACAAGCGCACCAGCTGTGCATGCACTAGTAAAGCAAACTGGACACGTGTTTGGTGCATATGTATACTATGTATGTACTTATCCTACATACTGTATGTACTATGTTCTCCATCCTTGCTGTACTTCTTGTTAACCGGAAATACTGTTGTCCAACATCACTCCCTATTTACTGTAAGTTGTGTAAACGTCTCCACTACATAGTTAGATCAAGACCAGCAGACAGCAGCACTCCGGGGGGAGTCTGGGACCACCACAGTATCATGTTCATGGTAACCGGAGTTCACCTGTCTTTGCTCTGATGTCATCACTGTGACATCACACCTGTCTGTGTGTGTGTGTTTGTGTGTGTGTGCAGATCACGGAGCTGTGTGAAGGTGTGATCCGGGTTCACGCTCCCCTGCACACCAAGGTCTCCATGGCGATACAGCTTGATGGACAGACAAGAGCTAAAGACGTCATCGCCCGCTTTGAGTGTGACAACAGGTAACACGCACGCACCAACACACGTTTGTCTTAGTATCTTTGTGGGGACATCTCATTGACATAATGCGTTCCTCAGCCCCCTTACCCTAGCCCTAACCCGAACCCGAAGACCGGCTGGTTCTCAGTACCAAGTTAGCCAAGTTTGGACTTCTGTACTTTAAAGCTCGGACTTGGCAAACTCCCAGGAACAGGAGCACGCAGTCCGTCATTCAGCAATTGGAACAGCAGCGGACTTGATGACGGCCGGAACCATTAGCGGGTCCTCACATCTCCGAAAACGTTGTAGCAAATTTTTAAATCAGCTCTGTCATGATAAATCGACCACATATTTGGACATATTTTCCTGCATAAAAAACTTAAAACTGCATTCCGTGACACGAGAACAGCAGTATTATAAGTTACAGTTGTGAGTTTTCTCCTCTGACTTTTCCGCTTTTTGGCGGCGAAATGCATTCTGGGATATCCGAAGTACACACAAAGTCACCACCGACGCAGGCTCGGTAACACGGGCGGAGCGAGAACACATCCGGGTATCTGACTGTACTTGGCTAGATGCAGACTTTTGAATTGGAACAGTACTTTGGCTGCGACTGATGACATTTCACAAGAACACAGGAACACAGACTGAGAAACAGCTCAGGTCTTAACACTCAAATGGCCCTTTACACTTGCGGGGTCCAGCATTTTGGTCCCCGCTAAGCTGGTCGGTCCCCACCAGTATAGTGCATCCCGGTTTTGGGACCACACAAACACACCCTATTCCATTAATGTCACCATGACCGATCTCTCTCTCTCTGTGTGCATGTCTCTCGCCCCACAGTCCTGTCCAGCGTCTGTATGAAGTCGGAGGAAACATCGGTGAGTCTGAAAACACACAAACATGTTCTAAGATGTAAACAGGTGTAGATCTTAAAAGCCAGCTTTGACCTGAAACATGAAATACCAGGAGTTAATCCACCCGTCTGTCTCTCAGGTGAGCGTCGCCTCCATCCAGACTGTTTGCTGTTGGACGTTTACAAAGTGAATCCTCACTGCGATTGGCTGATCAAACCATGACTCACGCCTCTCTAACCATCCCGTCCAGTCAGCTTTATTTATACAGCTCGCCATCAGAAACCACAGACTCCCCACCAAGGAGCTTTGCAGTGTGACGAGTCCTCAGAGCCTCGAAATCCAAAGCAGGAGGGACAGGAAGTAGTCCGGACAATCAGGATCACTGATTACAGATAAGCTGTATGTAACATGTGAAGAAGGGTCACCTGTCTCACATCCGTGACATCACAAGGCTTAGTCAAATGAACACAAACATGAACAGCTGTATAACAGATTTCTGTCAATAAACTGTTTCCTGTTTGTATTGTTTTATTGTAATTTACCTGAATCTTCTCGCCCTCTGATCATCAGCTCTGCTGTCCTGCTCATATTAAAAACATAAAGCGCGCCCCCTGCTGGTCAGCCTGAGGAAACGCTGTGAAACAGACCTGCACCTCTTACAGTAGCCACACAAAGGGATTGATTTGAATGTACTGGTTGGAGATAACTGATATTTTTATTGTCACCATGGAAACAGCCCTGTGAGTAAACCTGTCCACGCTGGGCTCCCGTAGTTCAGTGATGAAATAAAACAGACGTCTGCTCATTGAACTGAACAGAACGGTTTTTATACAACAACACAAACAGAAGCGACCGTTTTCTGTACAGAGTTTGGTTCAGACTGAAAAACATCCTGTACACTTACAAAGAGACATAATTACACATGAAGCCAGAGATCACACAGCCGCTGGGGTCACGACACGGCCGCTGAGGTCATCAGTTCATGTTGAATGATTCAGCAGAAAAAAAAATTCTACAAACACAGAACGTCAGTACGACGCGGCTGCAGAACAAAGGAACCGAGGTACGGAAATGTGTTAGCAATACAGTTACACTGATTAGGGGCAGACAACACCACCCAGAGGCCGGGGGCCGACGCTGTCCAGATGTTGCTCCTCAGCAGCGGCTGTTGGGAGCAGCCGACGCGGTCCAGATGTTGCTCCTCAGCAGCGGCTGTTGGGAGCAGTCGACGCGGTCCAGATGTTGCTCCTCAGCAGCGGCTGTTGGGAGCAGCCGACGCTGTCCAGATGTTGCTCCTCAGCAGCGGCTGTTGGGAGCAGCCGACGCGGTCCAGATGTTGCTCCTCAGCAGCGGCTGTTGGGAGCAGCCGACGCGGTCCAGATGTTGCTCCTCAGCAGCGGCTGTTGGGAGCAGTCGACGCGGTCCAGATGTTGCTCCTCAGCAGCGGCTGTTGGGAGCAGCCGACGCGGTCCAGATGTTGCTCCTCAGCAGCGGCTGTTGGGAGCAGCAGATGTTGCTCCACAGCTGTTGGGAGCAGCCGACGCTGTCCAGATGTTGCTCCACAGCTGTTGGGAGCAGCCGACGCGGTCCAGATGTTGCTCCTCAGCAGCGGCTGTTGGGAGCAGCCGACGCGGTCCAGATGTTGCTCCTCAGCAGCGGCTGTTGGGAGCAGCAGATGTTGCTCCACAGCTGTTGGGAGCAGCCGACGCTGTCCAGATGTTGCTCCACAGCGGCTGTTAGGAGCAGCCGACGCTGTCCAGATGTTGCTCCTCAGCAGCGGCTGTTGGGAGCAGCCGACGCTGTCCAGATGTTGCTCCACAGCGGCTGTTAGGAGCAGCCGACGCTGTCCAGATGTTGCTCCTCAGCAGCGGCTGTTGGGAGCAGCCGACGCTGTCCAGATGTTGCTCCTCAGCAGCGGCTGTTGGGAGCAGCCGACGCGGTCCAGATGTTGCTCCTCAGCAGCGGCTGTTGGGAGCAGCCGACGCGGTCCAGATGTTGCTCCTCAGCAGCGGCTGTTGGGAGCAGCCGACGCGGTCCAGATGTTGCTCCTCAGCAGCGGCTGTTGGGAGCAGCCGACGCTGTCCAGATGTTGCTCCTCAGCAGCGGCTGTTGGGAGCAGCCGACGCTGTCCAGATGTTGCTCCTCAGCAGCGGCTGTTGGGAGCAGCCGACGCTGTCCAGATGTTGCTCCTCAGCAGCGGCTGTTGGGAGCAGCCGACGCTGTCCAGATGTTGCTCCTCAGCAGCGGCTGTTGGGAGCAGCCGACGCTGTCCAGATGTTGCTCCTCAGCAGCGGCTGTTGGGAGCAGCAGATGTTGCTCCACAGCTGTTGGGAGCAGCCGACGCTGTCCAGATGTTGCTCCACAGCTGTTGGGAGCAGCCGACGCTGTCCAGATGTTGCTCCACAGCGGCTGTTAGGAGCAGCTGATGCTGTCCAGATGTTGCTCCTCAGCAGCCATGGCGGCAGCCTGCAGTGTCTCTGTGTCGCTCTGCAGAGGATTCAGCTGTTTCCTCTCGCTGTGCATGTTGTTCTCATGACGCTTCAGATCCGACGCCTGAAAGTACAGAGTGACAATGAACTCCCCACACGTACAAATTCACACCGTCAGCAGTACTACGAGTAGTGATAGTAGTCAGTGTTGTACAACACCACTTACTTCAGGTTAAAGTTCGTTGTAACGTGCATTACTGAGACTGTAACGGGTATAATATTACAGATTTAGTTTTTTAGTACTGCATTACAGAAAAAAAAAAAAAAAACTATAATTACTGTGTTACTTTTGTAACGCATTACTGCAAACACTGATAGTAGCAGTAGTGATAGTAATAATGATAGTAGTGATAATAATAGTAGTGATAGCAATAGTAGTGATAGTAGTAGTAGTGATAGTATTAATGATAGTAGTGATAATAATAGTAGTGATAGCAATAGTAGTGATAGTAGTAGTAGTGATAGTATTAATGATAGTAGTGATAATAATAGTAGTGACAGCAATAGTAGTGATAGTAATAGTAATAATAGTGATAGTGATAGCAATAGTAGTGATTTTAATAGTAGTGATAGCAGCCGTAGTGATAGTAGTAGTGATAGCAGTGATAGTAGTGACAGTAATAATAGTTATAGTGATAGCAATAGTAGTGATAGTAGTAGTAGTGATAGTAATAATGATAGTAGTGATAGTAATAGTAGTGATAGCAATAGTAGTGATAGTAGTAGTAGTGATAGTAATAATGATAGTAGTGATAGTAATAGTAGTGATAGCAATAGTAGTGATAGTAGTAGTAGTGATAGTATTAATGATAGTAGTGATAATAATAGTAGTGACAGCAATAGTAGTGATAGCAGTAGTAGTAGTGATAGTAATAGTAATAATAGTGATAGCAATAGTAGTGATTTTAATTGTAGTGATAGCAGCCGTAGTGATAGTAGTAGTGATAGTAGTGACAGTAATAATAGTTATAGTGATAGCAATAGTAGTGATAGTAGTAGTAGTGATAGTATTAGTGCTAGTGATGGTAGTAGTAGTGATAGCAATAGAAGTGACAGTAGTAGTATTAGTGATAGCAGTGATAGTAATAGTAGCAGTAGTGACAGTAGCAGTAGTGATAGTAGTAGTAGTGATAATAGTAGTGATAGCAGTAGTAGTAGTGATAGTAATAATATAGTGATAGCAATAGTAGTGATTTTAATAGTAGTGACAGTAATAATAGTTATAGTTATAGCAATATTAGTGATTTTAATAGTAGTGACAGTAGTAATAGTAGTAGCGATAGTAGCAGTAGTGATAGTAGTGACAGTTGCAGTAGTGATAGTAGCAGTAGTTATAGTAGTAGTAGTGATGGTAATAGTATTGATATTAGTAGTATTAGTGATAGTAGTGGTAGTGATGGTAGTAGTAGTGATAATAATAGTAGTGATTTTAATAATAGTGATAGTAATAATAGTTATAGTTATAGCAATAGTAGTGATTTTAATAGTAGTGATAGTAGTAATAGTAGTAGTGACAGTATTAGTTATAGTGATGGTAGTAGTAGTGATAGTAGTGATAGCAACAGAAGTGACAGTAGTAGTATTAGTGATAGTAGCAGTAGTGATAGTAGTGATAGTAGTGATAGCAATAGTAGTAGTAGTGACAGTAGTAGTATTAGTGATAGTAGCAGTAGTTATAGTAGTAGTAGTGATAGTAATAGTGATAGTAGTGGTAGTAATAGCAGAAGTAGTGATAGTAACAGCATTGATGGTAATATTAGTGGTAGTAGTAGTGATAGTAATAGTAATGATATTAGTAGTATTAGTGATAGTAGCAGTAGTTATAGTAGTAGTAGTGATAGTAATAGTGATAGTAGTGGTAGTAATAGCAGAAGTAGTGATAGTAACAGCATTGATGGTAATATTAGTGGTAGTAGTAGTGATAGTAATAGTAATGATATTAGTAGTATTAGTGATAGTAGTAGTAGTGATAGTAATAGAAGTGATAGTAACACTAGTGATAGTAGTACCTTGGCGAAGGCCTTGGTGCAGGATGGGCAGACGAACGGTTTCTCTCCTCGATGTCTTCTCTCATGATCCTTCAGGTGAGACTTGTGTTTAAATGCCTGCAGACAGACAGGTGAGACCAACAGATGAGAGACAGACCGGTGAGACAGAGGTGAAAGACAGACAGGTGAGAGAAACAGGTGAGAGACACAGGTAAGACAGACAGGTGAGACGCAGACAGATGAGAAACAGACAGGTGAGAAACAGACGGACAGGTGAGAGAGACAGGTGAGAGACACAGGTAAGACAGACAGGTGAGACAGACAGACGAGAGACAGACAGACGAAAGAGACAGGTGAGAGAGACAGGTAAGACACACAGCTGAGAGACACAGGTGAAACACAGACAGGTGAGAGACAGGTAAGAGACACAGGTAAGACAGGTGAGAAAGACAGACGAGGAAACAGACAGATGAGACACACAGGTGAGAGAGACAGGTGAGAGACAGACAGATGAGAGACAGGTAGGTGTGAGGGGGACAGGTGAGCTCACCTTTTCACACATCTGGCAACTGAACGGCCTCTCGTTGCTGTGAACCCGTTCGTGTTTTTTCAGGTCTGGAGCTCGAATGAACGACTTCCCACAGACTTCACACCTGTAGGGTTTGAAGCCTGTGTGGATCTTCAGGTGTTCTAAAACAGACAGAAAAATATCATCTGTAACATGCCCATCACGGCATCAGAGCTCAGGTGAACGTACCTAAGTACAAGTGTGAGGAGTGTGCTTACCTTTGAGGTGAGCGTGGGTGGTGAAAGCTTTGGTGCAGATCTCACAGGCGAACGGCCGCTCTGCTGAGTGAAGCTTCTCGTGTTTCCTGCAGGCAGAGAGAACGGCTCAGGTGTGTCCACCAGGTGTGTGGCTCAGGTGTTCACCAGGTGTGCTCTACTTACCTGAGTCTGCTCTCGTCCAGGAAGGTCTTCCCACACACCTGGCAGGCGAGCTGCTCCCGGTGTCCGTACAGCAGGTATTCAAACTTCATGTCGGTCGTAGCCGTGGACCAGCCGGGCGGCTGCTCGTCCTTCACCTCCCCCATACTGTCTGCAAACGTCAGTGTCTGGGTGGCGTGGTGCTCCGCCCCCAGCTCTTTAGGCTCCGCCTCCATATCTGTCACCACATCCTGGTCGTAGCAGGTCACCTGGAGGGGACACAGGTGTAGTCACATGGACTGTTTACCAGTGGTTACCGTTATATCTTCTGTACTTAAATCACAGTAGTTGTCTGACCAGGGCCAGACCAGAATCCGGCCAGAGCCAGAGCCAGGCCAGAGCCAGGGCCAGGTCAGAACCAGGTCCAGGCCACAACCAGAACCAGGCCAGAACCAAGGTTTAGGTTTGGGGCTGAGGAATGCATGATGAGAGTCCTCACAAATCCAGAAAGAAAAACATGTGTGTGTGTGTACCTTATGAACATCCTCATTGGTCAGTTCTTTCAGGATGGCTTCCTGGACACGCAGCGCCGCACTGGGAGACTTATCTAGCTCCTGATTGGCCGACGCCTCGACAAGGTCGTCAGTGGTGTGCGTGTCGTCGTGCTCCCCGAGGACCTGCACAGGTTACAGGAGGAGGCGTTAGAGGAGTGATGGCTGATTAACGGCTGATCTTGATTGGCTGAGCGTACCTCGGCGTCCGCAGCCAGCTGAGCCTCTGGAGGCAGGGCCATCTTCACGATGTCATAGGGAAACTTCTCTTTGTCCTCTGAAGACACGTCTCGTTTCTGAGGACACATGAATGCATCACCACACAGGAGGAGGAGCTTTACCTGACAGACAGGTAAACCACCACCAGAGTCACAGTGCTGACACCTGGTCAGTGAAAACTGTCTGCTGTCTCACCTGCTGGATGTCGGCTAGTTTCTGGTCAGAACGAATGCTCGTAGACAGCTGTCAAAAGTGTCACCTGTCTCTGTGTCACCTGTCTCTGTGTCACTTGTCTCTGTGTCACTTGTCTCTGTGTCACCTGTCTCTGTGTCACCTGTCTGTGTCACCTGTCTCTGTGTCACCTGTCTCTGTCACCTGTCTCTGTGTCACCTGTCTCTGTCACCTGTCTCTGTGTCACCTGTCTCTGTCACCTGTCTCTGTGTTACCACCTGTGTGGATGTTTCCTGTCTCTATGTTACCACCTGTGTGGATATTACCTGTCTCTGTGTTACCTGTGTGGATGTTACCTGGGTGGATGTTACCTGTCTCTGGGTTACCACCTGTGTGGATGTTACCTGCTTGGATGTTACCTGTCTCTGTGTCAGCTGTCTCTGTGTCACCTGTGTGTTAGCTGTCTGTGTGTCACCTGTGTGTTAGCTGTCTGTGTGTTACCTGTCTCTGTGTTACCTGTGTGGATGTTACCTGGGTGGATGTTACCTGTCTCTGGGTTACCACCTGTGTGGATGTTTCCTGTCTCTGTGTTACCACCTGTGTGGATATTACCTGTCTCTGTGTTACCTGTGTGGATGTTACCTGGGTGGATGTTACCTGTCTCTGGGTTACCACCTGTGTGGATGTTACCTGCTTGGATGTTACCTGTCTCTGTGTCACCTGTCTCTGTGTTACCCGTCTCTTTGTTACCTGTGTAGATGTTACCTGTCTCTGTGTCACCTGTGTGGATGTTTCCTGTCTCTGTGTTACCACCTGTGTGGATGTTTCCTGTCTCTGTGTTACCACCTGTGTGGATGTTACCTGTCTCTGTGTCAGCTGTCTGTGTGTCACCTGTGTGGATGTTACCTGTCTCTGTGTCAGCTGTCTGTGTGTCACCTGTGTGTTAGCTGTCTGTGTGTCACCTGTGTGTTAGCTGTCTGTGTGTCACCTGTGTGTTAGCTGTCTGTGTGTCACCTGTCTCTGTGTTACCCGTCTCTGTGTTACCACCTGTGTGGGTGTTTCCTGTCTCTGTGTTACCACCTGTGTGGATGTTTCCTGTCTCTGTGTTACCTGTGTGGGTGTTACCTGTGTGGGTGTTACCTGTGTGGGTGTTACCTGTGTGGGTGTTTCCTGTCTCTGTGTTACCACCTGTGTGGGTGTTACCTGTCTCTGTGTTACCCGTCTCTTTGTTACCTGTGTAGATGTTACCTGTCTCTGTGTGTTACCTGTGTGGATGTTACCTGTCTCTGTGTCACCTGTGTAGATGTTACCTGTCTCTGTGTGTTACCTGTGTGGATGTTACCTGTGTAGATGTTACCTGTCTGTGTGTTACCTGTGTGGATGTTACCTGTCTCTGTGTCACCTGTGTAGATGTTACCTGTCTCTGTGTCACCTGTGTAGATGTTACCTGTCTCTGTGTGTTACCTGTGTGGATGTTACCTGTGTGGATGTTACCTGTGTAGATGTTACCTGTCTGTGTGTTACCTGTGTGGATGTTACCTGTCTCTGTGTCACCTGTGTAGATGTTACCTGTCTGTGTGTTACCTGTGTGGATGTTACCTGTGTGGATGTTACCTGTGTGGGTGTTACCTGTGTGGGTGTTACCTGTGTGGGTGTTACCTGTCTGTGTTACCTGTGTGGGTGTTACCTGTCTGTGTTACCTGTGTGGATGTTACCTGCGTGGTAGTTACCTGTCTCTGTGTTACCCGTGTGGATGTTACCTGTGTGGGTGTTACCTGTCTCTGTGGGTGTTACTTGTGTAGGTGTTACCTGTCTCTGTGGGTGTTACCTGTGTGTGCGTTACCTGTGTGTGTGTTACCTGAGAGCAGAGTTTGTCGAGGAAGCGGATGCCGAGGATCTGTCCTGATGACATCATCAGGTTGACGTCCCTCTTCTTGACAGAGATCTTTGCAGTGTACATGTAGTTCAACACCTCCTCGAAGATATCAGAACGGATGAAGTCGATCTCAATCACAGAGGAGTTGTCGACCTGAGGAGACACGGACAGGTGAGGCCTCATGTTTTTTGAAGTACTGAGCGTGTACACGTGTATATTACCTCGTATTTTTAAAGTAGTGAGCGTGTACACGTGTATATTACCTCATGTTTTTAAAGTACTCGGCGTGCACACATGTGTATATTACCTCGTGTTTTTTGAAGAGTTTCTTGAAGTAGTTGGAGCAGGCGGCGAGCACGCAGCGGTGAGCTCGGAACTTGACGTCCTCTACCACGACGGCGATGTCGCAGTGCTCGCCCTCCAGCCGCTGCTCGTTCAGCAGCTTCAGGAAGATGCTCTTGTGTTCATCGTCCACGTACTTTACCGTCTCCGCCATCTGGATGCACACAGGCACAGCATCAGGACCTGTCCAGTACTGAGATCCAGGCCTCAGGTATCTGGGACTAATAGGATCAGGTCTCTCTGCTCTTTACTGGTCACCGGGACATAAAACCTGCCTTTGCCCCAGAATAAGTGTTTTCCCCGCCGGTTGTACTTCTACTCGTCACTGCCTTCATCGGTGGGCACCGGGGACACGACGCCATGAGCTCATCCCAGCGGGCGCTTCAACAGACGCTCAGCTAGCTGGGGTTCTGGAGTCAGCATAAACCGGATCCGTTTACACAGCTGGTACTTTCTAACGCATACTGCGAGTACTGCACATCACATCTGGAGCCTTTAACGCAGTATTCTGGCGGATATGTGGTACCTTGAACTTATGATGTCACCCAGGTTGCACACCTGTAACTGTCCCCCCGTCTCTGGTCCCAGATCTAAGGCTGGTGCAGCCCGTCCCCCTGGTCTCTGGTCCCAGATCTAAGGATGGTGCAGCCCGTCCCCCCTGGTCTCTGGCCCCAACAGTTCATGTACCTCTCGTACCGCGGACACGCGCGCCAGAGCGTGTGCACGCGTCACCGTGCAACTATCTGAGCGAACAGACAGCAGCTAGGCTAGCTGTTAGCATAGAGCACACTTTGCTTTATTTACCATTAAACCCATGGAGTCCGGATCCGAACCCGCACGCGGACCTGTACCGGACACCCAGTCCCGTTCTCCTCCGACTGTAGTTCATCTGAACCGGACTAAAGCGGGTTGCCGTTAGGCCACCGGGCTAGCAGCTGCGACGCTAACTCTGTGTAGCAGAGCTAACGCTAAACCCGGACCGACCCGTTCGGCTGTAACCGAGGTTCTGGTGTATGTGAGGGAAGACAGCGGGGTAACTGAGGCTCGGCCGGTGTAACGGAGACGGTGTCCCGGTGGCTGGGTCACCGGTGAGGCTGCCGTTAGCCTGTAGGGAGCTAACATGGTCAAACATTAACGTTAACTTGATCATTGGGACCGGTACCGGCCTCCCGGTGCTGGCAGCGGGCCGGGTGTAACCACAGTTACCGGACCGTGGACCTGCCGATGTGTAACGTGTCTGTTAGTGCTGACGTTAAATGGCGGACGGCCTGTTTGTGTCGGAGTAACGTTAAATGGCGGACAGCTCGGCCTGCTGCTGCTCTCACAAAATGGCGTGTCCCCGCTGCCCGTCCAGCTCTCTCTCCGTTACACCTGCGGACCGACGGCGGCACCGACCGGACGGTGAGCGGGCCGCGTGCCGGCTCGCGGACCGTCCGCTCCGCCGTCCCCGGGACAGGCACGCGAGCAGCGGCGCCGCGGCCTCGGTAACGAGACGGGGCTCGAGCGGCCATGAACGGCTCGAGAGCGCGCAGCATCCCCGCGGAAACGGCGTCTGCAGCGGGGAGGAGAGGAGCGCGGGTCGGGGAGCGAGCTCTTACCGTCACAGGGGCCCGGTGCGATGTGGTCCTCCGGGTGTGGCAGCGTACCGGGAGCCGGGAGACACTTTGTCCGGTTGTTGTTGTTGTTACTGAGGACGAGCGCCGAGCGGAAGGACGCGCTTTGCGCCAGCACGCTCACTGCAGGGGCAATACCTCGGGCATGCGCAGTCCGCTCCTCTGTGAGAGGGAACGAGTCTGCAGGAACACACAGAAACCAGTCAGAACACACAAACCAGTCAGATAAACCAGTCAGAACACACAAACCAGTAAGACAAACCAGTCAGAACACACAAACCAGTAAGACAAACCAGTCAGAACACACAAACCAGTCAGATAAACCAGTCAGAACACACAAACCAGTGAGACAAACCAGTCAGAACACACAAACCAGTGAGACAAACCAGTCAGAACACACAAACCAGTCATATAAACCAGTCAGAACACACAAACCAGTCAAACAAACCAGTCAGAACACACAGAAACCAGTAAGACAAACCAGTCAGAACACACAAACCAGTCAGATAAACCAGTCAGAACACAGAAACCAATAAGACAAACCAGTCAGAACACACAAACCAGTCAGATAAACCAGTCAGAACACACAAACCAGTCAGATAAACCAGTCAGAACACACAAACCAGTAAGACAAACCAGTCAGAACACACAAACCAGTCAGATAAACCAGTCAGAACACACAAACCAGTAAGACAAACCAGTCAGAACACACAAACCAGTCATATAAACCAGTCAGAACACAGAAACCAGTAAGACAAACCAGTCAGAACACAGAAACCAGTAAGACAAACCAGTCAGAACACACAAACCAGTCAGATAAACGAGTCAGAACACAGAAACCAGTAAGACAAACCAGTCAGACAAAAAAAACACAGATACCAGTCAGACAAACCAGTCAGAACACAGAAACCAGTCAGACAAAAAGAACACAGATACCAGTCAGACAAACCAGTCAGAACACAGAAACCAGTCAGATAAACCAGTCAGAACAGAGAAACCAGTCAGAACACACAAACCAGTCAAACAAACCAGTCAGAACACACAGAAACCAGTCAGACAAACCAGTCAGATAAACGAGTCAGAACACAGAAACCAGTAAGACAAACCAGTCAGACAAAAAAAACACAGATACCAGTCAGACAAACCAGTCAGAACACACAAACCAGTCAGATAAACCAGTCAGAACACACAAACCAGTCAGATAAACCAGTCAGAACACAGAAACCAGTCAGACAAAAAGAACACAGATACCAGTCAGACAAACCAGTCAGAACACAGAAACCAGTCAGACAAAAAGAACACAGATACCAGTCAGACAAACCAGTCAGAACACAGAAACCAGTCAGATAAACCAGTCAGAACAGAGAAACCAGTCAGAACACACAAACCAGTCAAACAAACCAGTCAGAACACACAGAAACCAGTCAGACAAACCAGTCAGATAAACCAGTCAGAACACAGAAACCAGTAAGACAAACCAGTCAGAACACACAAACCAGTCAGATAAACCAGTCAGAACACAGAAACCAGTAAGACAAACCAGTCAGAACACACAAACCAGTCAGATAAACCAGTCAGAACACACAAACCAGTGAGACAAACCAGTCAGAACACACAAACCAGTCAGATAAACCAGTCAGAACACAGAAACCAGTCAGATAAACCAGTCAGAACACAGAAACCAGTCAGACAAAAAGAACACAGATACCAGTCAGACAAACCAGTCAGAACACACAAACCAGTCAGATAAACCAGTCAGAACACAGAAACCAGTCAGACAAACCAGTCAGAACACATAAACCAGTCAGACAAACCAGTCAGCACACACAAACCAGTCAGACAAACAGAACACAGAAACTAGTCAGACAAACCAGTCAGAACACACAAACCAGTCAGATAAACCAGTAAGAACACAGAAACCAGTCAGACAAACCATTCAGATAAACCAGTCAGAACACATAAACCAGTCAGACAAAACGAACACACAAACCAGTCAGACAAACCAGTCAGAACACACAAACCAGTCAGATAAACCAGTCAGAACACAGAAACCAGTCAGAACACAGAAACCAGTCAGACAAACAGAAAACAGAAACCAGTCAGACAAACCAGTCAGACAAACCAGTCAGAAAAAACAGTTTGAACACAGAAACTAGTCAGAACACAGAAACCAGTCAGACAAACAGAAAACAGAAACCAGTCAGACAAACCAGTCAGAAAAAACAGTTTGAACACAGAAACCAGTCAGAACACAGAAACCAGTCAGACAAACAGAAAACAGAAACCAGTCAGACAAACCAGTCAGAATACAGAAACCAGTCAGAACACAGAAACCAGTCTGAACACAGAGATAAACCAGTCAGAACACAGAAACCAGTCTGAACACAGAGATAAACCAGTCTGAACACAGAAACCAGCCTGAACACAGTGAGAAACCAGCCAGGTGTTAATACACAGGGACAAGCTTTTGGCTTATTTCAGTCTCAGAGACAAGACAGTCATCTCCAGGGAAGGACGGTGTCTCTACAGGACGTTAGCTCACCTAGAAGACACTGAAGAAACAATCAATCATAACGCCAACAGTAAAACGCAGGAAAGACGCATCAGACCAACAGCACTCACATCGCGCTTAGAGAAACCAGCCATAGCGTGGTGGTCCACAGTGTGTGCAGTCCACTGCTTTGACACCAGCATTAATGATGTATTTGAAAGACGTCCTTGTATGTGGACGAGGGGGCCCTACATACAAACTGAAACTCATTCAGAAGAAATACAGACGGCAACAGTGGGTGAATAAGTGAGGTTTAAGGGTATGTGTTTTTCCAGGAGACATAAGGAATGAAATGACTGTGTTGGTCACAGCTGTGTTGTGTGTGTGTGTGTTACGTTGCTTGCTACTACCTAGGTAACTTAGCTGTGTTCCACGCACAGCTATATCTCAACTGATAAGATGTTATCTGACCTTAGCTTCATTGATGTTATCCTCAGTGACCTTAGCTTCAGTGACATTAGCTTCAGTGACCTTAGATTTAGTAATGTTAGCCTCATTGACCTTAGCTTTAGTGACCTTAGCTTCAGTGACCTTAGATTTAGTAATGTTAGCCTCAGTAACGTTAGCCTCAGTGACCTTAGCTTCAGTGACCTTAGATTTAGTAATGTTAGCCTCAGTGACCTTAGCTTTAGTGACCTTAGCTTCAGTGACCTTAGATTTAGTAATGTTAGCCTCAGTGACCTTAGCTTTAGTGACCTTAGCTTCAGTGACCTTAGATTTAGTAATGTTAGCCTCAGTGACTTTAGCTTTAGTGACCTTAGCTTCAGTGACCTTAGATTTAGTAATGTTAACCTTAGTAACGTTAGCTTCAGTGACCTTAGCTTTAGTGACCTTAGCTTTAGTGACCTTAGCTTCAGTGACCTTAGCTTCAGTGACCTTAGAGTTAGTAATGTTAACCTCAGTGACTTTAGCTTTAGTGACCTTAGCTTCAGTGACCTTAGATTTAGTAATGTTAACCTTAGTAACGTTAGCCTCAGTGACGTTAGCCTCAGTGACCTTAGCCTCAGTGACCTTAGCTTTAGTGACCTTAGCTTCAGTGACCTTAGATTTAGTAATGTTAGCCTCAGTGACTTTAGCTTTAGTGACCTTAGATTTAGTAATGTTAACCTTAGTAACGTTAGCCTCAGTGACGTTAGCCTCAGTGACCTTAGCTTTAGTGACCTTAGCTTCAGTGACCTTAGATTTAGTAATGTTAGCCTCAGTGACTTTAGCTTTAGTGACCTTAGCTTCAGTGACCTTAGATTTAGTAATGTTTGCCTCAGTAACGTTAGCCTCAGTGACCTTAGCTTCAGTGACCTTAGATTTAGTAATGTTAGCCTCAGTGACCTTAACTTTAGTGACCTTAGCTTCAGTGACCTTAGATTTAGTAATGTTTGCCTCAGTAACGTTAGCCTCAGTGACCTTAGCTTCAGTGACCTTATCTTTAGCTTTAGTGACCTTAGCTTCAGTGACCTTAGATTTAGTAATGTTAGCCTCAGTGACCTTAACTTTAGTGACCTTAGCCTCAGTGACCTTAGCTTCAGTGACCTTAGATTTAGTAATGTTAGCCTCAGTGACCTTAGCTTCAGTGACCTTAGATTTAGTAATGTTAGCCTCAGTGACCTTAACTTTAGTGACCTTAGCTTCAGTGACCTTAGATTTAGTAATGTTAGCCTCAGTGACCTTAACTTTAGTGACCTTAGCTTCAGTGACCTTAGATTTAGTAATGTTTGCCTCAGTAACGTTAGCCTCAGTGACCTTAGCTTCAGTGACCTTATCTTTAGCTTTAGTGACCTTAGCTTCAGTGACCTTAGATTTAGTAATGTTAGCCTCAGTGACCTTAACTTTAGTGACCTTAGCCTCAGTGACCTTAGCTTCAGTGACCTTAGATTTAGTAATGTTAGCCTCAGTGACCTTAGCTTCAGTAACGTTAGCCTCAGTGACGTTAGCTTCAGTGACGTTAGCTTCAGTGACCTTAGCTTCAGCGACGTTAGCCTCAGTGACCTTAGCTTCAGTCACGTCAGCTTCACTGACGTTAGCTTCACTGAGAGAGAAAGTTATTACATCACATACGCGACTTTTGGGTTTGTGGTCTTGTTATTTTCAATGTCTTATACAACAGTTTTACGACAACGTTGACCCATGGTGGTCCACCTTCAATAAACAACAGAAGAAGAAGAAGGAGGAGGACCGCTCTGGCTTTGTCGAGGTCACTGCCTGAAGAGGTCGTTTTGTGTGTATCTGTGTGTTTGTTGTTATCTGGTCACAGCTGACCTCTCTCTTGACCTTTATTAGAGAGTTGTGTCTGTAGGATATCTGGAGGGGCAGCGATCACAGATATGTATGATATATTTCAACTTTCATAGTATCAAACACTATCTAAATCATTTGAAACTGCACTTTAACATAACTGCAATGACAGAAACTTGGATAAACAGTGAAAAAGGGTGACAAGAGTCAGGGTGGTGTGACACTCTATGTGGACAAGGATTTAAATTATGGCCCAATCCCAACGTCCCCCCTGAGACCCGAGCCCTGGAGCCTCACAGACTTTACTGACGTCTCTTGGAAAGTGATTGAGTTTAAGAGGCTGTGAGGGCTGAAAATGCTGAAACAGGAACGGGACAGCACTCTGCCACTTTATCACCCTGACGACGCTGAAACACGTTGCACACTTTTTATTTCATGTTGTTGCCTGATTTCGAGGAGAGGGAAATGTCAATCTACATTTGTCAGTAATCATTAAAACGCTATTGTTGGTCAAACAGCCTCATTAAGCAGAAACTAAAAGAAATAGTTGAATAAACTCGGTGTGAAATGAGGTGACTGCATTCCTCTGACTTCATGTGTTCTGTGCAGCATCTTAAGTTAAGAAAACTTTCAACAATGTTAACATCAGCGTAGGCGTTGATACGTCTCTAGCTTCATGGGCTTCCCCTGGTAACCCCCGTTTTTCACGTCATACTGCCATGAACTGAGAAAATTCTGCAGAAATGCGGACTTACGAAAAGGGTCTATAAAGGGCTCAAAATTGTCCGCGAGAGAGCCCTCTTGCACTTGGCGATTTGACAGTGGGACGGCCCTGAGCCCTCACGGACTTCCCGGGAACACGCCTCAGAGTCTGTGAGTCTGTGAGGGGGACGTTGGGTCTGGGCCTATAAGGTGGTGTCAATGGTTGTGGATAATTTACTGGAATGTGTCACAATAGAAATATGTATGGAAAAAGAGAAATATTATTGTAAGCTGCATGTACAGGTCACCAGGTTTAAATATTGACACATTTAAGGACTGGATGGAAGAGACGTTTACAAAAACTAGCCTAAAAGTCATGTTCATCTGCAGGGACTTCAATATTGATTTGTTAAACCCAAATAACCATAATATGATTTTATCAACACCATGTTTAATCTAGGCCTCTATCAGACCCAGCCAAATTACTTCTCATTGTGCAACACTAACAGACAATATATTCACAAATATCATTCATAACGAAACAGTGAGTGGTGTTGTGGTGGCAGCCCGGCTGACGGTGAGTGTCCTGGTTTTTTTCTCCGCCTCCTCTCCAGGGGAGCCTCTGGAGAGGTCGCCACACCCGGCTCCCTGCCCGGCTCCCCGGCCTCTGGAGAGGTCGTCTCCCCCCATAGCCCGTCTCTCGGGCCGACCGCCCGAATTCTCTGGCTTGTCTCGCCTTGCTCCCCGGCCTCTGGAGAGGTCGTCTCGTCCCTTAGCCCAGCCCTCGGGCCACCCGCCGGACTTCCCTGGTCCGCCCTCGGGCTGCCCGCCAGACCTCCCTGGCTCCCCTGCTCTGTCCTCGGGCTGCCCCCCTGAACTCCCTGGCTCCCCCAGTTCGCCCTCGGGCGGCACAGCTCAGTCCTCTGGCTTGTCTCGCCCCGCTCCCCGGCCTCTGGAGAGGTCGTCTCGTCCCTTAGCCCAGCCCTCGGGCCGCCCGCCCGACCTCCCTGGCTCCCCTGTTCCGCCCTCGGGCCGCCCGCCGGACCTCCCTGATTTCCCTGGTCTGCCCTCGGGCCGCCCCCCTGAACTCCCTGGCTCCCCTGTTCCGCCCTCGGGCCGCCCGCCGGACCTCCCTGATTTCCCTGGTCTGCCCTCGGGCCGCCCCCCTGAACTCCCTGGCTCCCCTGCTCTGTCCTCGGGCTGCCCCCCTGAACTCCATGGCTCCCCTGGTCCGCTCGGACCCTCAGGTCCCTCTGCTCCGCCCTCGGGACGTCCGCCCGAACTCCCTGGCCTCCCAGCTCCACCCTCTGGCACCCCATCTGTACTCCCTGGTTCCCCAGCTCTGCCCTTTGGATGTCAGTCTGTACTCTCTGGTACCCCAACTCTACCCTCAGGCACCCTGTCTAGCCCTATGTTTTCAGTTCAGCCCTGCCCGTTCCCCTAACCCTTCCCAGTCCTGAAGCCCTCCCTGAATTCCCTGTTTGGTTTTGGACCCTGGACCCCCACCAGCCGGATCCCAGTGCAACTTCCTGGACAAGGCGGGGCTTGGCAGACGAACGTAGCGGACGTTCGTCTGCCGGGAGGCGGGAGGCGTCCATTGAGGACGGGGCCCTGTTGTGGTGGCAGCCCGGCTGACGGTGAGTGTCCTGGTTTTTTCTCCTTTTTATCAGTTATTCTGCTTTTTTCCCTTGGTTTTCTGTTCCCTGCCTGCCTCCCTGTGTTTCCTCCCCTGTGTGCTCTCTCTCTCCCTCTGCTCCTGAGCCCAGCCAACTACCTACACCTCATCAGCCACCTCGTCAGCCTGCCACACCTGCCACATCACCTCATGACTGCCTGTATTTCAACCCCGGTTCTCCACACCATCCTTGCTTGATCGTCGTTGCTCCGTACCCGGTGCCACCTCCACGTTCAGGCTCTCGTGTTTCTTGTTTTACTCTCACATTTACCCCGTGCTTTGTGTCTGTTCTCTCTAACCCTGTCTCTCTGTCTGTTTCCCTTCCAGGTACACTCACCCTCGTCCTCCGTTCAGTCGGCTGGGCTCATCCACCGGCCCTCTCCACCTCGGACTTCCCCCACGGCGTCCTCAAAATGATAGTAATAAAGAAATACTTTTAGATAAGTAATTATATTATATTTGTAGGATCAAATGCCTTCTCAGAGGTATGTACAAATAACTACGTGCCAATCTTCTCTGAGGCCGACCTAAAACCAGGCTCTCCAGAGAAACCATCGACGTGCTGGTCCAGATGTTGCCTCGGCTAAAGCCACATGGATGGAGCCATGAAATCGAGGTGGCTGTCCGTCTCTGCTGGCTTGCATGTGGTACCTCATACAGGGCCTTTCCGAAACTAGAGCCTCGCCACTTCCACTCCGACACAACAGCGACAACTTTCGGACCAACTCCCCTCTCCCCTCTCCCCCCTGCGTAAATAGGATCTGACGTTAGCGCCGCACTCACTGCTGAAATATGTGGATCAAATAAACAACAGTGTGTTAAGCTTCCGGATCGATGTTGGAGAAAAGTGTTTTTTGTTTTTCTCAAATTTGATGGCTGTCTCCAAATAATTTAAAAAAAGGGCATGATTCTGACATTGTAAGATTTGCTGCCTCAAGTCAAATATGTCTTTCCAGCGTATTACTACTTGATGTACTACAACTGTTTATTTAGCTACCACCAAAAATATTTATAGAAGAGAATCCAAAACAATAAAAATAAAATAATAAAAAATAATGTAGACTATTTACAAATTTTTTTATAGTGTCAGAGGCTGCTCTTTCCCTCGCCGCTGCCTCCTGCTGGCTCCTCTTCCCTCGCCGCTGCCTCCTGCTGGCTCCTCTTCCCTCGCCGCTGCCTCCTGCTGGCTGCCTCCTGCTCGCTGCCTCCTGCTGGCTCCTCTTCCCTCGCCGCTGCCTCCTGCTCGCTCCTCTTCCCTCGCTGCTGCCTCCTGCTGGCTGGCTCCTCTTCCCTCGCCGCTGCCTCCTGCTGGCTCCTCTTCCCTCGCCGCTGCCTCCTGCTGGCTGGCTGGCTCCTGCTCGCTGCCTCCTCTTCCCTCCTCCTGCTGCTCGCTGCTGCCTCCTGCTGGCTGCCTCCTCTTCCCTCCTCCCTCGCCGCTGCCTCCTGCTGGCTGCCTCCTCTTCCCTCCTCCCTCTTCCCTCCTCCCTCGCCGCTGCCTCCTGCTCGCTGGCTCCTCTTCCCTCGCCGCTGCCTCCTGCTCGCTGGCTCCTCCTCCCTCGCCGCTGCCTCCTGCTCGCTGCCTCCTCTTCCCTCCTCCTGCTCGCGGACCTGCTGAGTGCAGCATCCGTCTGACTGTACCACTGCCAGGTAGCAGCGGTCAGCCCTCTCGCCTCCACCCCTTCCCCTGTTGGAGGATCCCCAAGTTCCTAAAAAAGAATGTATAAATAAAAAAGGTGAAAACGATTGTTGAATATATTTGTAGTCCTAAAGCGTTTCTACAGTTTGACTGGCTTCACAAATGTTTGCTGCAACGCTATCCTGTGTAAATTCCCTTCATGTCAAGTTATACAACAGTTATTTTAAGATATCATGCAGTAATGATGAAGTTTAAATACAACATAGAATATTAATTTTTTTAAAAGTTGGGATGTTGTTTAGTTTACAGTTTCCAAAAAGTGTTTGATAAGGCATGTCCTTGCCCTTTGCGTCTGTATGATACGTGTACTCCACCAGTCAAAATAAGTGCATATTAACATATATCTTGCTTAAATCAGTCCCACTACATTACTGAAAGATGTGTGGGTGGTAGGTTGTTCCATTTCTTCACAGCTTGTTTGGGTCAAACTCTGGAAAAAAGAAGAGAGGACAACTTAAACACCATCACTAATATTACTACTAACAAGAATTATTATTTGTATTACTCCCTGCATGCATGTACTGCATTCATATCAAACCCAAATCATAAATGTCACCTGTACTATTTATTCTGCACTAAAAAGTAACTTACACAACTTTGATTTTTTAGTATTTAATGGTCTTCTTTCATTTCGGTGCATAAAACTCTTGTGAGAGGCTGATGAGTTTGACACAACCGAACACACCAATCGACCAGTTAGCCCCAGCGTTCAAACCTTCTTATATAACAGCCTGTAGTCCAAACACAGCAAAGCATAACGTTACTCACTCCCATCCATTTTTGGGGGAATTCCTCCGACCAGTGAAGAGAGCCTCGTACGCCCGTTGGTTTCCTCAGATGTCCCTTGGTTTAAATGAAAATGTTCTCACATTATCCGGAATGCAATTACATAATAACAGCGGTAGGAAAAGTAAGACTGTCTTACAGCTGTGGGTCTGGCTTTCGTCTGCCACTCAGCCGTCGTCTGCTGCAACGGTCTGTGAGCGTGACTGGCCGGTTGGCTCGCTAGCTACACCCGCAGGCGGAGGTTCTCACTTCTGAAAATGTTTGAGCACATTTTAACATTTTCGTTAAAATGCCAATATTTGAAATCTACACAGTTGATTTTTTGCATCAAACGTTCTCAGAAGTGAATTTAGTGATGAAATAGCGTGTGAAATTGTTGAAACACGACTTACTATTGTCTTGCCTTTCTCTGCTTCCCGCTCCTTCCTCGAATGCCGAAATGAATGCTTGGATATCTCTGTCGTCAAGTTCACACAAGTTACCAACCGATGCATCCTGGGTAAAATGGGCGGGTCAAGAACACTTCTGGGATTTTTAACCGTTCTTGCCAAACTGCAAACTTATGTATTGGGACAGAACTTGAGGCCACAAAAGATGACGTTTCACAAGAACAAAAGGACAGACAAGAACACAGACTGAGAAAGGCCCTAAGACCTCACCGACCTCACCAAGATGGCGGCCCGCAGCTAAAAATAGTGAATATTGATCAATATTCCTGTGACCTAAAGCACTCCCATGCTTTACAGGCCACAAGTTGAGAACAGAACATCCTACAGGGCTGTAAGTGGGCTCTTTGTCTTCGTCTTGAAGTGACAAACCGGTTGGTATACTGGATGTCTCTGTAGCTCGTACAGAACGTCAGCAGAGGGTGAGAAAGGCCGCCTCTACCAAACAGACTCTTCTTCTCTCCTTCATTTTGAGTAGATAGAAGAAAGTTTCTCAAAACCAAGAATGCAAAGAACTTGTGTTCTTGGGGAGAATGTTCTTGCTAGTTGTTCTTGGAAGAATGAACTCACAAGGTCACGAGCACACAGAACACTGCTGACGGTTTGAGACGATGCGTTCTTGCTGGTATTGCGCAATACCCCCCCGCACAGAGGCCGTCTGCAGTGCCCGAACATAACAAGACTTTGAGGATAACAGCCCAAGCCTACCCTCAGCTCAACGGATTACTCTGCAACTGTACACTATCCATAACAATAAAGCAACGCCTGTCTCCTTTTTGCTTCTGTTGCTTGATTGCGTACATCACTAGCCAACGGCGGGAAAAAGCGCCGGTAAAGGGTAGGCTATCGTCTGGTGTCCAAAGTAGCCCATTTTTAGGAGAAGAATAAAACAATTCAGGTTAAAAAACAATGTTAACAGTCACCGTGGGTATACTCTACCGAGAGGCAGAAAAGGAAGCTGCTGAGCTGAGGAGAGCCAGGACGCAGAGGATGCAGTATTTTAACATTTGTCTCTGGCTATGTACGACACTATCTTATAAAGTTAACTTAAATCAGCACCTAACTTCAATAATAGTGGAAAATAAAGAATGTGATCAAGTAGATAGAAATGTTAAGGTACAAAACAAGAGTGTAACAGCGACACTGTATCAGTCATGTTGATTGTGCCCCACAGTACCATCACCTTCTCACAAAATCCAGGCAAAATGACTCGTTTATACATTGACATTAGGTAAATACAATAAAATAAGTTTGATGATTTCTTTGAGTAACTTAAATTACAGGACACTCTGCACTCCCACAGGCTTGTGTCAGAAATATAACATATACATATAACCACAGTAGAAGAATGGAGCAGCCACTAAAGAACTACCGTTGCTTGCCACTCCTTGCTCCAATACCAAAATGATAGTAATAAAGAAATACTTTTAGATAAGTAATTATATTATATTTGTAGGATCAAATGCCTTCTCAGAGGTATGTACAAATAACTACGTGCCAATCTTCTCTGAGGCCGACCTAAAACCAGGCTCTCCAGAGAAACCATCGACGTGCTGGTCCAGATGTTGCCTCGGCTAAAGCCACATGGATGGAGCCATGAAATCGAGGTGGCTGTCCGTCTCTGCTGGCTTGCATGTGGTACCTCATACAGGGCCTTTCCAATGCAAACTTATGTATTGGGACAGAACTTGAGGCCACAAAAGATGACGTTTCACAAGAACAAAAGGACAGACAAGAACACAGACTGAGAAAGGCCCTAAGACCTCACCGACCTCACCAAGATGGCGGCCCGCAGTTACGTACAACACAAACAACCGATCTCCTGCCCGTCAGGGACCACTTGGATAAATACTAGTGAAGCATTCACTGACATCAAGTTTACGAATAAGTGTTAAGATACAGCAAATATGAAAAGAGCAACAAACTCACAACCATAGATGTTAATCTGAACCACCGAGGGCCCTCATGTGGTTTGTGTTGCTGCCAGCCGGAACAAAGGGAACGGGTGGAGCTTATAAAGTAGACCATTGATCAGGATTGAGTGAGACCAGGTGAGACTGGGTGGATCCTCGCCATGGAAACAGGCTGAATAGTATGGCTCTACTCTACAACCTGAACATCCATGCTGTGGCCCCCCCAGGAGTGGCCCTGAAGGCTCCTGCAGACAGGAAGCTGAGTCTATAAACTGTGCCGGATAGTTCTGCTGCTGTATCAGACCACGTTGCCTGGGGAAGACCTGCTGCTGATCCACCTCCCGCCTCAGGAGGAGGAGGGACACGATGTAATGAAACCCCGTAACAGAATCTGTTTACTTCACAACTTCGGTTCATTTCTGAGAACTGTTGTGCAGATGAAGAAGAAGAAGACAGCTGATGTTCAGGGTGTAATGAGTAGTTTGTTGTATCTGTATAAAATAGTCAAAACATTGAAAATAAACCTCCTGCTAATGTAACGTATGCAAATTCCATAGGCATGGCTTTGGAGAACAAACCTATGCAAAATAAATGTTGCCGTGACAAACCTATGAAAAAATAAATGTTGCCGTGACAAACCTGAAAAAGCCGTCAGTAAAAGTGTGATTGGATTCGCCTGAGTTTTCTCAGGGAAATGAAAAGAAGCGTCCATAGATTTATGAATGTGGATCAAACACCGGAATGCGCACACACACTATAGCACAAGCTTTATGTTGGCATGTGCAAAAGTGTTTAGTTTATTCAGTTTGTTTAAAAAAGGGGGGGGGGGATATCTGCAATAAGATGGAATCGACCTCACTATCTATCCATCGGGAGTCCAGCACAACAACGACTGTGCTATATGTGCACATGATTTCCTACGGTTTGAATTTGTTCTGGCCCGCCATATAACGGCTTGGAAAAATTTGGCCCAATGCCAGACTTCTTTGCCAACCCCTGGGGTAGGAGGTAGAGGCTGGTTGTGACGATCGCTGACACCACATGTCACCTGCCACCAGATAAGCCCATAGCTAAATTCTACCAGTAGAGGGAACTTGCTATGCCTATTCCTAACACGTAGAATTCAAATACTGCGCTAAATGCTAAATGGGTCTGGATAGTTAGTCTTTAAAAAGCTAGATTTCAGTGATTCTTCTGAACACTGGCCGCTCGTGGGGTTCAAACCTTTGTCCCTGATCGAGTCCACAGCCATTCTCACAAAAGCTAAACGCTCCTGCATTTTGGGTTGCAAATCTGGTGCATTTTTCTGCCATGAGACTTCAGAAGATGTGACCCAGTCAGAGATCTGAATAGGGACATTGCTTTGTAGGCCTGAAGATGAAGTTCCTGCTGCAGAGTTGCCAAGCTGGACAGATGTATGGTTGTCACGCCCTGTGTGAGGAACAAAGACATCTTTACTTTATTATTGCATGTGTTGAAATATCCACTGCACATGCTCAAGAAACAGGCTCTATACTGACCGCAGGACTATGTGAGTACCTCGCTATGCAGACATTTTATTTCTGACACAGGTTCGACTCACTGACACCAAGATGTCATGTTGAGCGTTTGTTGTTTGTTCAAATAAGACATGGGACTAGTGATACTGGACATGTTGAGAGTGTTTTTTTCAAATTAGTTGAACTACTCCAAAATCTTTTCAGGGAAACTGATCATGCAGAAGTACACCCAGCCCCGCCCTAAAGCCTCCCCTGCTTCCTGGTCTCTGTTCCTCTAAATGGGACCATAATTTACTAAATGAACATCATGCTGTGTTGAAGAAGACTTGAAACTAGCGACTGAGACCAGAAACTCATCAGGAAAATGTTTATTGAGGGAATAAATCAGCTGACAAGTAGAAACATTTTACCATTATTTAATGGAGCCGGACTTCTTTTGGCAAACAGTGGAGTCGCCCCCCTGCTGGCCGTTAGAGAGAACGCAGGTTTAATGGACCTTTCACCTCTCAGACCCAGAGGTTCCCGCTTGAGTGGACACCACTCATGATAATGTTGGATGTATAAATAGACAAATGTTTATCACCTGTTTTATAAGATTATACTATATGCCCTCCAGTGACAATATGGCCACCTAAATGCAGTTTAAAGAGGTGGTATTCAGCTCATGGTTAAGTTCCTCATCTTATTTAGAGGTTGTACCAGAGCAGGTTTCCATGGTTATATATTTGTCATACTGCACATTGCTGCAGCTCCTCTTTTTCAGCCTGTGTTGAAGGCTTCGTTTTAGCTATGGAGTGATACATCTTGTTTTTCTAAATGATCTTTGTTGGGAGTTGCACATGCTCAGTTCCTAGTTAAGGACTACTAGCCAATCAGAAGCAGAGAAGGGCGGGTCAGCGAGAAGCCGGTAAACAGCTCGGGTTCAGCCGTACGTGTTGCCGACCGGCTCGGCAACACGTACTGGAGCGAGAGTTTCCGAGCGGTGAGTTATTAATCTGTATCCATAAAGTTTTAACTGAGCTCTGTCTCTACATCACAGGAACAACTTTCTGTCCACTGACTGCCTGGAGGGTAGACGGGAACTACCTTTGGGCTTTTTCACTTTGAAAACCTGCTACATGCACAAAAAAGAGATATAACTTAATAAAGGAGAGGGAAAAAGGCAAAAAGCAGAATACCACCTCTTTAATGGGTTGTGTGGTTTATTTTCTGTTTCTTGTGGATACTTTATCCCCTTTTCCACCGTACGGTACCAGCTCGCCTCACCTCCACTCGCCTTTGTCTGGTTTTCCACTGTGGAAAAGTTGGACCTGTACCTGCTTCCAGGTACTTTATTACGTATCTCCTCCGTCGAGGTTCCAGTCGAGCTGAGGCGATACTAAAATGTGACATGAAAACACGACAGACTGCTGATTGGTCAGAGAGAATCGTCACTATTCACTGTATCATCATTGCGCCTGACAGAGGCCACCATCAGAAAGTTTAATATTTTACAGTTTTCATACATTATTTCATCACTAAATCCACTTCTGAGAAGTTTTGAGGTGAGAAATCAGCTGTGTAGATTTACAATATTCACAGTTTTACGAGACGTGATGTGCTTGAAAGTTGAGGAGTGGCGGTGGGGGAAGCCTGGCGAGGCCGGCCAGCCGCCCGCTCACAGAGCCCTCTGCTCCCGCCGTCACACTGCTGCAGCAACAACGGCAGAGAAAAACACAGCTGGAAGGTTTTCATACCGCTTATCTGTCTTTACATTCTGAGGAAGGTTGAAACGTTTTAAATTAAATCAAGATACAACTGTGTGGGTCGCTATGACGACCAGCTACATTGAGGGGTACTATCTGCAATGGAAAACGGAGCACGGCCAAACAGAGTGGAGGGGGGCCGAGCTGGTACTGGTGATGGAAAAGGGGCTACCTGCTACAGGTGAACCTACGATTTTAACCCTCAAACTCCTAAAATGTCCCTTTCAGACTGAATATCACAATATGTTTATATTAGGGCCCCACACCTGGCAAACTGACTGTATACAAATATCCACCATATGTTCAGAACCGCCAGAGCTCAGGTTTTTACCACACAAGGTGTCGGATGCAAACCATAACCACGTTCCACATGACACAAAGACCAGACATGAGACAGTGGAAACGCCACCACAACACGCCACGTGCTAATGTGAAAGTAACAGACAGAGCTGCTCCTGTAGGGGCCTGGTAGTCCTCCCAAGCAAAGGCAGGAAGAAACAACAGATCTTGTGATTACTCTTTGAGACATTAGTTATTATGACCTGCGAGGTCCAAAGTCTACAGAAAAGCATTTCTAATCTCGTCCAATGTTGTAAATGAAAGATTATTGTGAACATGGTCGTCACTGGTATTTCTTACCTCTAGTGTATGAGTCTTTGGCCAGCGACACGTGGAATAATATCTTATGTCTTCAGATGTAACAAACTGAACATCGCAATCCGTCTTCACAGCAACACTATAATCCCTCTCCTGAAGACGTCCTCCACTGAGTCAGCATGTTTTCATTTAGCTTGGAACGAGATTAACATCAAATCTTTTGTACAAAGACAGCGGTCGTGGTCAGCCAGGGCCTCCACACTGACACACACTCCAGGAGGCAGTGCACGCCCAGCTCAAATAATGGCACTGACAATAGAGACTTTTGAACAGTCACTGTCCTCCATAACTACACCCACAGATTTCTGGCATTTGGTGCCCTTGTGAGTAACAGCTGCTGTCACTGATGCCTCTCAACCCAACAGCTTCCTGGATGTCAAGGCTGTATCAATCCTCAGCTTGCTGCATTTGAAGATGTGGTGTGAAGAGACTGCCGGCCTGCAGAAGCTGGTGTCTGCACACTGCTTGAAAAATGTGCGAAAATCTCATCACTGGATTTTTAATGCCATCGCCTATGAGCAGTGGGAGCAATCGGAGGAACACCAGTTCTGAGCGGCATCGCCCCCAAACGTTGTCTTCTGCCTGCACTTCACATGGTTTACTGTTGGCATCATTGCCGGCACACTTAGAAGCAGATATGTTTCTGTTCAGCTGACTGTAAGTGAAATGCTTTCCCACCGTGACAAACGCCTTCAAAAAGGTCATGTCCCAAGCATGGCGGGAGTCCTGGGTCACAACCATGACAGACATGTCAGATTTTATGAACAGCAGCTAAGTGAGGGTTCATGGGAAGTATCTCTGTCTATGACGCAGTAGCGACAGAAATATTTACCTGCGCTGAAGTTCTCTGTGAAGCCGCCAATCATGTTTGACCCAAGCCCCGCCCCTTGAATCATTTGACCGTTGTCCAGCTCAGCTGCCTCTTCAAGATCCATCCAATCTCTTACAAGGGGAGCAAACACTTTCTCTGTAAACTGTAAATCTACGTCTTTACAAAACACAACAAGCTGTTTGGGATCTACAGAGGATCTATTGTGAGGAGAGATTTCTGACAGGAAGCTGCTTGTGCTTTTTTCTTCCTGAGCCAAGGAGGTTCACCACTTCGAAGGAATCCTGGTACCAGATAATGGACGTTGAGGACAGACAGTGCTAAAACATTTCTGTCCAGGAAATGTGGATCATCTGTGTCTTTGCTTCAGTATACTGCGCTTTGACAGACTCATGGCTCAAGAGAGCCTCGCTTCGGGGAACATACTGCATGAGGCAGTCCTTTTCTTAACGTTTCTGCACAGCTGGGGACGGGGCTGGAGATCTTTTTCCCATCTCTCATGTGCCATTTTAAATGGTCACACAAGTTCAGCAAATTGGAGGATGTATGCTCACAACCCTGTGAAGTGCGAGCAAATCACTGCTTCCGGCTGAGCAGGTCTACCGTTACAGCTTTATCGGGCTGTGTGCGCTTCCGACACACGTGAGACTTAAAAATGCAGATATGCGGATAACTGAGATGCCAGAGGCCCGGCGGCAGAATCAGACACTTGGCCTCAGTGGGGGGGTGAGCAGATCGCTCACATTAATCACGTCTCCAACAGTGTTTTTAAACGCACTATTTGCATAAAACCGTAGCGCTAGTGACAGCTGTAATGCGGAGGTCAGTGCTGCGTTGTGGTGACAGCTCTTCAACAAGTTCCTATGTCTCTCTCTCCGACAGAATGGAAACCGCTCAGTCTGCTCCTCCTCATCGTAAATGTCAAGGATTGCTTCTGTCCCTACTAACGGGCTCCCGTCTAAAGTCTGTGTCTTTACTGCTGTCTTATCAAGTCGATACTATAGAAACTTGCCTAGATTTTGAGTGCTAGTATAATAAAAGTTGGATGAGGACCTGTGAGGATTTTACCTCCTCCGTCTCCACGTCTGCAAAGTGACCTGACAGCTCAGAGTAGAAGAGTCATGGCAGTGCAGTACTGTGCGCAGTACTGTGTGTAGTACTGTTTAGTATCGCAGTGTGTCTCTGCACAGGTGGGTCCGGCTAAGTTCTCCGGCCTCCACAGGTTAACCCCCAACCCAGAACGCCAACAAAGGGCATATGTAGTGTGACGTTGCAGGACTAGCAGTGCAAGTTTTGGATTGCAGCCTGGAAACACCTGGAGACAGCTACACGCTGCACGCTGTAGGTAAACTCCTGCTGTTACAGGAACATTTAATCAGGCTGAACTGATCCATGTTCATCACGTGATCGCGGTACATTTACTGCACTTAGCCGGCATGCTACATCGTTAGCTTGCCTGCTGCTTTTCAATAACTGGTTTACTTTCTGTGTCTTCATCCGGAGGCTCAGCGGCGTGAGCGGAGCGGTTAGTGAGCTGGTCAGACCGCAGCAGGGTTAGCGTTACTGTAGCGGACGGCTCTTCCTCTGTGGTGTCGTCCTGTCGTGTTTCATTGTATGCTATGTGGGTCACGTGGGTTACAGAAGCTTCTGTACCTGAGTGTCGTTCCACGTTTGTACCGTTCCAGAAAATCTGAGCCGGAGTCTTCAGGTAGGATCAGGCACGCTATCGGTCACCTGCCGGCTTTCTCCATTAGCTTACAGCCCGTCACACAATCACAAGAATCAATAAGAAGACCAGATCACTGTTTTTTTATTTAAAATGGAACGCAGGAGTTTCTCTGGCCGCGCTCATATGGGGGCCCTGCTGGGATGTAGCCTATAAGGTACCAGTCTGAGGCGCATGACATTGACCGATCAGAGACTGAAATACTCAGAGCTGGACTGAGGAGAGCAGCAACACAGACCTGCGCAGATGGATAAAACCTGTGAAGGCCCACCGCGTCGCCGTCCTGAGCTGCTAACGAACACGGGGAAGGAGAAACGCTGAACTGTAACTTGAAGCCTTTGTTTAAAATTAAAGTTCATGAAGTTGATTTCTCTTCAGTGTTCCAGTTGATTTAACACAAATTTCAAGTTCAGAGGATTTAAATGCCAGAGTAGTTTTAGTTCACAGCTTCCCGGCCTCCACCAGGGGGGCGCAGGTCCTTCCTGGTTTCCAGAGCCACGTTCAGCTGACAGAAGCCTGAGACTGAGGGACAATGGGGCCTTTGTGGTTTTTAACAAACTGTTGCTATGACCTGCACTCAGGCCTGATGAAAGACTAGACACTTGAACACAACGGGCCTCTGCAGGAGGTAGGCAGCTCTGAAGGCCTCGAGCCTGGAGTGCATGTGTTGATGCTAACCTGCTGTGTATTTACAATGGTTAGCTAACATCAAGATGATGTCTTATTGGTCAGTGTCACATGCCAGTCTTGTTGTAGGGGAGTACTGAGTACACGGAGACCCACAGAGGAGGAGCAAGACCAGGATATATCAACCTCTGCAGAGTTTGGAGAGTCTGCTCCCGGGACCAGCTCAGATACACATGCAACTGTAGGTGTTTCATTTGTTTCTGTGTGAGCGTGAAGTCAAGGCCTCCTGCCCGGTCTGAGGATGATATGTGAAAATGTTCTGCATCAAACATAAACTTCCTGCTCTGGTTTCTGGTGGAAATGTTTTTCTGTAAAGAGAAACTCGAACAGACTTGAAGTCAGAGCTGTTCTCAGATCGGTTACTCCTGTAGATCAGCTTCTTTAATATCTGCTCAGTCCTGGTTTAGTCTTCTAATGGGACGTCCCCATTGATTTGTGGACTGCCGTTTAAAAGCCCCCTGTTTGGTTGTTTGGCCGTCGGCATCTTGGTTTTCAGGAACCGGACGTGACCATATTTGGACGAGAGGGTGGAACTAGCTAGCTTTGTTAGCTACACGCATCGGTTGCCATGGTAACAACTTGTCAATCACAATCTCATTTTCTCAGACTTCTATACAATCACTTCTTTTGCTGCCCTGCTGGCCGTTAGAGAGAATGCTGGTTTAAGGTGCTTTAGCACTGGAGGTTCCTGGTTGGTCCAGACTCCAGCTATACAGCACATGACTGAGTTTTGCTTGGCAGGTGACACTCTGTGGGACCCCTATAGGGGCCCGTTTCGGGGTACCGAGTCACCTGGTGACTTATTGCCTTCAGATGGTGTGGGACTTGGCTGACACATTGTTTGCCTTCACTAAACGTTGCTGATGTCACTTTGTTGGGCGAAACATGTTGCTGCAACAGTTAGTCTGGCTCTCAACAGAAACATGCGGCGGACTTCACCTGCAGTCTGTGTGGGATCATGCGGTCCCAACTTTCTACACGACACTTCCATTTAAGTTTACAAACCTCTGACCCCTTCTTTTTGAAATGTTTGTTAAAAATGGACAACATGGCGTCGTCTGAATACACTGATATGTTTATGGACAACATTGAAATGTTTGCATCCAAGTTCCGATAATATGTACGTGCTCCCTCGTTCACGACAGTCCAACAGACATTTAAATAACCGTATCAACCTGATTTCATAACTATAGTAGTGATTTAAACTGCACATCCAAGTCCACGTCCACTTTGTCTACCACATCTGATTTAGCTCTTCATAGTCCCGTCACTTGAACCAGAAAACACAAGAACTCAAAGGTTTGACATAAAAATTCTTTAATATGACGTCTTTCCTAAAGGTTGTTGATATAAATGTTTGATCTTTATCTGAGGGTAGCTAGTTCCCTCTTTAAATAAATCTACTGTCTATAAATTCTGAATTTTGTCTAACAGCTTCAGAAAACACAGAATGACATCAGAGTCTAACAGCCAATCAGAGAAAAGATAATATATTTGTCAAGTACAGAAACATGAAAAAATATATTTAAAAGGTTAAACTAGTTTTTAAACCCCGCCCATATGACAGACCGTTGCCTTGGCAGAAAAACCACGTCCTTTTCATCAAGAGAACTACACTACCCACAATCCCCTTCATCAGACAGGTATGGAGAAATTAATCATTAATCAGTTAAAGGCTGTTTAAAAATAACTGCAGAGTAATAATTGTGCCATAAACAGTGTTGATACATCAGCATCTATTAGTATTGATTAGATATCAGATTAGCTTCTTCATGTTACATGTGTCAGTCCGGGAGGGGGGGGGGGCAGATGAGTGCCAATCAGAGCAGCTCGTACTGCCGCAGGTGCATACGCTGGATGATGTCACGACAGTCGTTGAAGACGCGGCGGATGTTTTCTGTGTCGATGGCGCAGGTGAAGTGAGGATAGCAGTAATGTTTCCCATCAGTGCTCGACTGGCTGATCCTCTGAGGGACAGACGGGTCAGACAGATGACATCACTATGACATCAGATGACTTCACAGGAAACTACCATCATCATCACCAGTGCATTTTTACCAGAAACTCGTCTCTAATGAAGAACTTGGCTCTGGACACTCTTGGGTCTTCATCAGCATCTGGAACAGCTGGACAGACAGAGTGATGTCAGGAAGCGTATTTATATACGTTATGTGTGTACTTCCACATGTGTGTATACATGTGTAAATGTACCCTCAGCAGGTACTTGGTAGTTGCTGTATTCGGGGAAATAATCCTCCAGTTTGGATTTTCCAGCCAGAATCTTGTCAGCGAGCACATCCTGTTTGTTCAGGAACAAGATCACTGAGATGGTCTTCAGAAACCTGCAGCCAACCGCAGGGCAGAGGGGGTTAAGAGCAGCCAACCGCAGAGCAGGGGGGGTTAAGAGCAGCCAACCGCAGAGCAGGGGGGGTTAAGAGCAGCCAACCGCAGAGCAGGGGGGGTTAAGAGCAGCCAACCGCAGAGCAGGGGGGGTTAAGAGCAGCCAACCGCAGGGCAGGGGGGGTTAAGAGCAGCCAACCGCAGAGCAGGGGGGGTTAAGAGCAGCCAACCGCAGAGCAGGGGGGTTAAGAGCAGCCAACCGCAGGGCAGAGGGGGCTAAGAGCAGCCAACCGCAGAGCAGGGGGGTTAAGAGCAGCCAACCGCAGGGCAGAGGGGGCTAAGAGCAGCCAACCGCAGAGCAGGGGGGGTTAAGAGCAGCCAACCGCAGAGCAGGGTGGTTAAGAGCAGCCAACCGCAGGGCAGAGGGGTTAAGAGCAGCCAACCGCAGAGCAGGGGGGGTTAAGAGCAGCCAACCGCAGAGCAGGGGGGTTAAGAGCAGCCAACCGCAGAGCAGAGGGGGCTAAGAGCAGCCAACCGCAGAGCAGGGGGGGTTCAGAGCAGCCAACCGCAGAGCAGGGTGGTTAAGAGTAGCCAACCGCAGGGCAGAGGGGGCTAAGAGCAGCCAACCGCAGAGCAGGGGGGTTCAGAGCAGCCAACCGCAGAGCAGGGTGGTTAAGAGCAGCCAACCGCAGGGCAGGGGGGTTAAGAGCAGCCAACCGCAGAGCAGGGGGGTTAGAGCAGCCAACCGCAGAGCAGGGGGGGTTAAGAGCAGCCAACCGCAGAGCAGGGGGTTAAGAGCAGCCAACCGCAGGGCAGGGGGGTTAAGAGCAGCCAACCGCAGGGCAGGGGGGTTAAGAGCAGCCAACCGCAGAGCAGGGGGGGTTCAGAGCAGCCAACCGCAGAGCAGGGGGGGTTAAGAGCAGCCAACCGCAGAGCAGGGGGTTAAGAGCAGCCAACCGCAGAGCAGGGGGGTTCAGAGCAGCCAACCGCAGAGCAGGGTGGTTAAGAGTAGCCAACCGCAGGGCAGAGGGGTCTAAGAGCAGCCAACCGCAGAGCAGGGGGGGTTAAGAGCAGCCAACCGCAGAGCAGGGGGGGGTTAAGAGCAGCCAACCGCAGAGCAGGGGGGGGTTAACTGCTGAACCTGTTGGTCCAGATGGATCTGAAGAGGTCCAGAGATTCTCGCAGCCGATTGGTGGAGTTGTCCTCTCTGATCACCATGTTGTAGCTGCTGCTGGCCGCCACGAAGATGATGGCGGTCACATCTGGACAAACACACAGCGTCAGTTCAACAGGAAGTGCACTCAGTTCTCAGGGTTCTTTAGTAGATCAGTGTTTCTCACCATTGAAGCACTGGATCCACTTCCTCCTTTCGTCTCGCTGTCCTCCGACATCAAACATGCTGATGGACACACGTGTTAATCAGGTCAGTTGGTCAGGCGTTGCATAAAGACAGTCAGTTGGTCAGGCGTTGCATAAAGACAGTCAGAGGTCAGTTGTTCAGGCGTTGAATAAGACGGTCAGAGGTCAGGCGTTGCATAAAGACAGTGAGAGGTCAGTTGGTCAGGCGTTGCATAAAGACGGTCAGAGGTCAGTTGGTCAGGCGTTGCATAAAGACAGTCAGTTGGTCAGGCGTTGCATAAAGACAGTCAGTTGGTCAGGCGTTGCATAAAGACAGTCAGTTGTCAGTTGTTCAGGCGTTGCATAAAGACGGTCAGAGGTCAGTTGTTCAGGCGTTGAATAAGACGGTCAGAGGTCAGGCGTTGCATAAAGACAGTCAGAGGTCAGGCGTTGCATAAAGACAGTCAGAGGTCAGTTGGTCAGGCGTTGCATAAAGACAGTCAGAGGTCAGTTGGTCAGGCGTTGCATAAAGACGGTCAGAGGTCAGGCGTTGCATAAAGACAGTCAGAGGTCAGTTGGTCAGGCGTTGCATAAAGACAGTCAGAGGTCAGTTGGTCAGGCGTTGCATAAAGACGGTCAGAGGTCAGTTGGTCAGGCGTTGCATAAAGACAGTCAGAGGTCAGTTGGTCAGGCGTTGCATAAAGACGGTCAGAGGTCAGTTGGTCAGGCGTTGCATAAAGACAGTCAGAGGTCAGTTGGTCAGGCGTTGCATAAAGACAGTGAGAGGTCAGTTGGTCAGGCGTTGCATAAAGACAGTCAGAGGTCAGTTGGTCAGGCGTTGCATAAAGACAGTGAGAGGTCAGTTGGTCAGGCGTTGCATAAAGACAGTCAGAGGTCAGTTGGTCAGGCGTTGCATAAAGACAGTGAGAGGTCAGTTGGTCAGGCGTTGCATAAAGACAGTCAGAGGTCAGTTGGTCAGGCGTTGCATAAAGACGGTCAGAGGTCAGTTGGTCAGGCGTTGCATAAAGACAGTCAGAGGTCAGTTGGTCAGGCGTTGCATAAAGACAGTGAGAGGTCAGTTGGTCAGGCGTTGCATAAAGACGGTCAGAGGTCAGGCGTTGCATAAAGACAGTCAGAGGTCAGTTGTTCAGGCGTTGCATAAAGACAGTCAGAGGTCAGGCGTTGCATAAAGACAGTCAGAGGTCAGTTGGTCAGGCGTTGCATAAAGACAGTCAGAGGTCAGGCGTTGCATAAAGACAGTCAGTTGTCAGTTGTTCAGGCGTTGCATAAAGACAGTCAGAGGTCAGTTGTTCAGGCGTTGCATAAAGACGGTCAGAGGTCAGTTGGTCAGGCGTTGCATAAAGACAGTCAGAGGTCAGTTGGTCAGGCGTTGCATAAAGACGGTCAGAGGTCAGTTGGTCAGGCGTTGCATAAAGACAGTGAGAGGTCAGTTGGTCAGGCGTTGCATAAAGACAGTGAGAGGTCAGTTGGTCAGGCGTTGCATAAAGACAGTCAGAGGTCAGTTGGTCAGGCGTTGCATAAAGACAGTGAGAGGTCAGTTGGTCAGGCGTTGCATAAAGACAGTCAGAGGTCAGTTGGTCAGGCGTTGCATAAAGACAGTGAGAGGTCAGTTGGTCAGGCGTTGCATAAAGACAGTGAGAGGTCAGTTGGTCAGGCGTTGCATAAAGACAGTGAGAGGTCAGTTGGTCAGGCGTTGCATAAAGACAGTCAGAGGTCAGTTGGTCAGGCGTTGCATAAAGACAGTGAGAGGTCAGTTGGTCAGGCGTTGCATAAAGACAGTCAGAGGTCAGTTGGTCAGGCGTTGCATAAAGACAGTGAGAGGTCAGTTGGTCAGGCGTTGCATAAAGACAGTCAGAGGTCAGTTGGTCAGGCGTTGCATAAAGACGGTCAGAGGTCAGTTGGTCAGGCGTTGCATAAAGACAGTCAGAGGTCAGTTGGTCAGGCGTTGCATAAAGACAGTGAGAGGTCAGTTGGTCAGGCGTTGCATAAAGACGGTCAGAGGTCAGGCGTTGCATAAAGACAGTCAGAGGTCAGTTGTTCAGGCGTTGCATAAAGACAGTCAGAGGTCAGGCGTTGCATAAAGACAGTCAGAGGTCAGTTGGTCAGGCGTTGCATAAAGACAGTCAGAGGTCAGGCGTTGCATAAAGACAGTCAGAGGTCAGGCGTTGCATAAAGACAGTCAGAGGTCAGTTGGTCAGGCGTTGCATAAAGACAGTCAGAGGTCAGGCGTTGCATAAAGACAGTCAGAGGTCAGTTGGTCAGGCGTTGCATAAAGACAGTCAGAGGTCAGTTGGTCAGGCGTTGCATAAAGACGGTCAGAGGTCAGTTGGTCAGGCGTTGCATAAAGACAGTCAGAGGTCAGTTGGTCAGGCGTTGCATAAAGACGGTCAGAGGTCAGTTGGTCAGGCGTTGCATAAAGACAGTGAGAGGTCAGTTGGTCAGGCGTTGCATAAAGACAGTGAGAGGTCAGTTGGTCAGGCGTTGCATAAAGACGGTCAGAGGTCAGTTGGTCAGGCGTTGCATAAAGACAGTCAGAGGTCAGTTGTTCAGGCGTTGAATAAGACGGTCAGAGGTCAGGCGTTGCATAAAGACAGTCAGAGGTCAGGCGTTGCATAAAGACAGTCAGAGGTCAGTTGGTCAGGCGTTGCATAAAGACAGTCAGAGGTCAGTTGGTCAGGCGTTGCATAAAGACGGTCAGAGGTCAGTTGGTCAGGCGTTGCATAAAGACGGTCAGAGGTCAGTTGGTCAGGCGTTGCATAAAGACGGTCAGAGGTCAGTTGGTCAGGCGTTGCATAAAGACAGTCAGAGGTCAGGCGTTGCATAAAGACAGTGAGAAGTCAGTTGGTCAGGCGTTGCATAAAGACGGTCAGAGGTCAGTTGGTCAGGCGTTGCATAAAGACAGTGAGAAGTCAGTTGGTCAGGCGTTGCATAAAGACGGTCAGAGGTCAGTTGGTCAGGCGTTGCATAAAGACAGTCAGAGGTCAGGCGTTGCATAAAGACAGTCAGAGGTCAGTTGGTCAGGCGTTGCATAAAGACAGTGAGAGGTCAGTTGGTCAGGCGTTGCATAAAGACGGTCAGAGGTCAGTTGGTCAGGCGTTGCATAAAGACAGTCAGAGGTCAGGCGTTGCATAAAGACAGTCAGAGGTCAGTTGGTCAGGCGTTGCATAAAGACAGTCAGAGGTCAGGCGTTGCATAAAGACAGTCAGAGGTCAGGCGTTGCATAAAGACAGTCAGAGGTCAGTTGGTCAGGCGTTGCATAAAGACAGTGAGAGGTCAGTTGGTCAGGCGTTGCATAAAGACGGTCAGAGGTCAGTTGGTCAGGCGTTGCATAAAGACAGTCAGAGGTCAGTTGGTCAGGCGTTGCATAAAGACGGTCAGGCGTTGCATAAAGACAGTGAGAGGTCAGTTGGTCAGGCGTTGCATAAAGACGGTCAGAGGTCAGTTGGTCAGGCGTTGCATAAAGACGGTCAGGCGTTGCATAAAGACAGTGAGAGGTCAGTTGGTCAGGCGTTGCATAAAGACGGTCAGAGGTCAGTTGGTCAGGCGTTGCATAAAGACAGTCAGAGGTCAGTTGGTCAGGCGTTGCATAAAGACGGTCAGGCGTTGCATAAAGACAGTGAGAGGTCAGTTGGTCAGGCGTTGCATAAAGACGGTCAGAGGTCAGTTGGTCAGGCGTTGCATAAAGACGGTCAGAGGTCAGTTGGTCAGGCGTTGCATAAAGACAGGTTCATACTGTAAAGAGAAATCCAACTAAAGAAATGAAGCATTAGTTAAGACAAAATTTACAACTGCTAGTTCTCCAACTACAGTTCCCATAATGCTTTGGGGGGATGTAGAAAGTACAATGTTGCCATGGAGACAGCTTTGATTTTATTTCCACTAAGCTGATTTGAGGACACTGACTTTGACCTAAAGGTGGAGGAGACAGGTGATTGGTGCAGATGGACAGGGGGGGCGGGGCTAAGCACACTCACTGGAAGTTGACTTTGTCCACCTGAAACCGGGTTTCAATAATCCCTGAAGTCAGAACCCTGCAGCGCAGCAAATCCTGCAGAAGAAGAAGAAGGCGTTAGTAACGGCTCCAGTCAGGCTGAATGCTGGAGGCTGATTGGCCGGTTTGTTACCTGGTCACTAGGTGTATAGTCTGTCCTCCTGACGGCGTCCAACCTGTCCAGGAAGCTGTAACACACACAGACATGTTTAGGTGATGTGGAAGCACTGCATCACCTGCGCCTCCTCCACCCTGAGCTGTGATAGGGCCGTCAGGGTTAGTGGAGCGTTTTGATTGGTCCGTTGGGACTTAAAATGTCAGTTGCTCTGAGATGAAGTGGAAGACGGGTGTGTTTGTGTGTGTCTCTTACTACTTAGCGCAGTCGATCAGCTGATATTCGTTGGAGCGTTCGAAACACGCCTTCACACCGTTGTCCTCCCATAGCCTCTGAGCGTGCTCAAAGAAGTCCTGAGAGACAGACAGTTTAAACAGGAAGTCTCAGTGAGATCATGGCATGTACTTCACATCAGATCGTCTACGAAGCACGATCCAAACACCGCACCACATCTAAACCCGAACCGGCGGCCCAAGACCCGATCCACGGGGAGACACCCGTCAGGCGTACCTTCATCACCTCACACAGGCGAATAACCCTGGTTACCATGACGCCTGTCAGAGGGGGGGATACATCAGGCAGCGGGTGAGCGTCGGCTCTGTTGAAAACAAGGCAGCCGCCTCGCCGCCTCCTCGCCGGCGTAACAGACAAGAGCCTCTGAAGGCATCTCTGTGAACACTGGTTTGGAACCACCGTACAGGGCAGCACTTATGACAGCGTGTGACATCAGCACGCCAGCTTGCTTCCTGGCGGTCAGTAACGAGCGTCGAGTCAGCGTGAATGCTGCCTCTGACACGGACAGTTGCGGGGGCAGTTTGAGGGATCTTATGAGACAGGAAGTGATCGCTGGATCCATGTAGAACAGCAGTCTGACCCGTTTCCAGCAGCCACTGTGTGCTCAGAGCTGGTCTGTCAGCGTGAGGATCAGGACCAAACTGTGATGGCTAGAGGACTGGGTCAGAACATCTCCAGACTGGTCTGCAGGGGTCAGTACCCGTCAGAAGTGAGCCAAGGAAGGAAAAGCTGTGAGCTGGCGACAGGGTCGTGGAGGGTCAAGGATCAGTGATGCACATGGGGAGCGAAGACTGGCCCGCGTGGTCTGATCCGGCAAACTGCGGCAGAAGGTGGTGCTGGTTCTGATAGTTGGTTGGTTCTGTTTGTTTAAAGCAGAGCAGAGCTGCCAGGTGTGCAGATCATGCTACCAAAAAGGTAAAAAATGCAGAATTGTGAGGTTTGTGAACAGCACAAACCACCGTCACGTCACTACTCCTGCGTGCTCGTCTGCTGTGGGGAAACACTGTGCTGCCATGTTTACATCATGAACCAGGATGTTGCCGATTCAGTCCAGCCACAGACCCTGGTCTTCTAGGACCAGAGCTGTGAGGAAGGAGGTAGGTCCAGAACTGTGACACTTTGGCTTTGTGATGAAGTGCTGTAGTCGGAGCAGGAGCAGCAGGCAGACGGACAGCCAGCGGTTTACCGAGTGACGTTATACCGTGCGTCAGATCCATTAAAGGTTCCATAATATTTCACCATCTGAACACAGATGTAAGGTGTGAATGTGAGGTAATGACCTACAGTCGACGCTCAGCGTGTGATTGGACAGCAGTCGACCAATCAGCAGCGGCGGCGTTCAGAGGCGACACAGGAAGTCTCTTGTTTTGTCTGCGTGTCATTAGAGAGCGGAGACGTTCAGCTAATGAGGCCTCAGGTGAGACTGTGTCAGGCGTGGTGTCGGTCCCACGCCGCCTCCTTACATCATGTCATTATCATCATTAACACAAACAAGCTCTCCGCCAGCTCTCCTGGTGCTCCCCGCTGTTTTCACGGGGAACGCTCTGCACCACTGTCGCCGCCTCACAATGTTCTGACCTGAGCGCCAGACTGCAGAGGCCGCCATCATCATCATCATCCACTCCAGTACCTCGGGGAAGGAACCGCGGAGCCGCTCTACCTCCTGATTCTGCTACACAAGGATTTAATGATGCATGAATAATATACTAGAGGTAAACTACATCGGATATTTTATAAGTTATAACCAATATATTAAATATAATGACCATATACATGTTATACTAACAGTATACATTATACTTTTTATTTAATGTAGTGATATTATAGTAACACGCTCATTTCTGCTAGTTCCTCCTCAGGTTGGATAAAGTCTCCGATGTGGATTCAGATCCAGGATGTGCCAACATGTGCTGCCACACGCGTTCTGTTTGCCTGAAGTTATAAAAGTGGATCAGTAATCTAGTCCTGTGCATCTGTCCCTGGCTCAAAAACTACAACTCCCACAAGCCACAATGCACCAATCACAGCAGAGTTTTAAAACGCTGTTTACAAGGTGGCAAAATCTGTATTTCTGCACTGGTGGCGCCAAAAAATTATTTCTTCTTCTTCTTGTTTAACTTGGTTTGAGTTGAGAAACACACATTTCAAAATGTCAGAAATAAAAATAATCCAGCAGGTAGACCCATGGAACCACGATAATCGCAGTATATGACCTCGACCTGTGTGGAATAATAAAGTCACACCTTCTGTTGTTCAGCTGTGAGCCAAAAGCTAGAACGGAGAACGAGGCGCTCTTTCCACAGCCGGAAGCATCGCCGTTATTGTGTCACAGTCTGATGCAAAGAACGTTGATGTCCGTTGTAAACTCGAACGACCAGCAAAAAGATTTTATTCGCAAACATTTCTCCACCTGATTTATTGAAGGATCTACTGAAGCAGCACAGCAACATGGAACTTAGAGAAACTCCGGCAGCTGCTGCCCGTGATGCTGGGATTCGTCGGGAGACATCGTAACAAATACAGCTCTTATAAATACATGTGCAGAAAAACAGTAGTCCCCACACAAACTCAGGATTTACTTGCTGCTCTGTACATTTTGTTGTTGTATGTACTTTCACTCAAGTCCAATTTCAAATGCAGGACTTTTACTTCTAACAGCATTTCTACCCTGTGGCATCAGAACTTTTACTTCTTCCAACACTGGCTGCTGGTGGTGAGCTCGTTTTCAAAGTTCAAACTAACGACCGACCTGTTCAGAGGTTTCACTGACTAACTCGTCGGCCGCTCTGAAAGTCAACACCAGGATTTAACTGAGATGAATTACAGTGAAATGAACTGCATGCAGCAGAGGACTGTGGGATCTAGCTGTTAACAGGTCAGTTGAAGAGACGTTTATTAAAACTGGACTGAATTTAGTGAAAAGGTTGTGATGACATGTTTTTATTTAATAAAGGAAGTCTGAACAGGATCCCAGGTTTAGGACTCTAACGGTTTGACTGACACCTCACCTGTGCGCGTGTGCGTGCGTTACCTCTGTGTACTCAAAGTCCGACAGCGGCGCGATGCTCTTGATGTAGTCCACTCTGAACTGGTTGTCAGGGTTACCCAGAGGCACGGGCGGAGTCAACATACTCATGGCTGACACAATGGTCTGAAACACACACACACACACACACACACACACTCTCTGATTGGCTGCTGTGGCTGTCAATCATCATGCTCTGCAGTAAATCAGTAACAGGTGTTGTAATTGAAGGTGAATCCTGCTGTCTGATGGTCTGGACGATCCATCAGAATCACATGGTATGTGTTCAAGGACATGCACAGAATGAGTGTCAACGAACAGCTCAATAGGTGTAAACTGCTGCGTACAGATACACAAACAGTATACAACAATATTTGTAGACAGTGCTGACATAATATCTGTACATGAGGTAAGTAACAGTTTATTTCTACGTATGATATCAGAACTCAACCTGTTTACACTCGATACCTAACTTAACCAGTTTCAGGTGCTTCAACTAATCACTAGTCATGTGACCTACCACTATGGCATCCTTCACGTTCTTCCTGATGTCTTGCATCTTCAGCTGCTTCTCTCTGGAAAACAAATACTTTATTAAATACACAAGCATCCTAGATTCAACCACAACTGCAGCCTTACGCCCATCGATAATCAAGGAGCATATCCACAGTGGAGCAGCTGAACGTCAAATATTTAACCTCTGACACTTTGGATTTAAAAAATATTTGACATTAGACTATGAGACTTTACACAGCAGGAAGTAGAGCCACACTGGCGCAGAGGGGGAGATTTCAAAACAAAAGTAGATCAAGTCAGTGTGTATTTTATTGTGAAGGGTTCAAAATCTTACTCACTCAGCGTTGAAACCGTCCACATGGAGAATCCTCATCTGCTTCACAATCGTGCTTTTACCAGATTCTCCTGCACCTGGAGACAGACAGGGGAGACAGATGAGACAAACAAACAGGCTGACGAGACAGACAGGCGAGACAGACGGACAGACTCACCCAGCAGTAACAGTCTGTGTGTTGCTTTATAAGCCTGTCTCTCCTTCTGCAGCTGTCTCTCGATCTTCTTGTTGGCTTCTCTCTTCGCTTTATCCTCCAGTCGTTCTTCCTCCGTCTTCCCTCCCAGACAGCCCATCTCAACTGGAACCACAGAAACCACAGATCAACCCCCACAAACCAGTGATCCACATGCAGACACCAGCGACCAACCCGAGGCTCTGGAACAGCCTGCCCGAGTAAATCAGGTCGGCTGAGTCAGTGAACTCTTAAGTCCCTTCTTAAAACATACTTTTATAGGAGAGCCTTTCCTGATCTTATTTGACTTTATTTTATCCCTTTTATTTTATTCTATTTTACTAATTTTATATTTATCTTAAACGTGTATTTTAGTCTTTTCAATGTTTTCTTGCTTTTATCATGTATTGTTTGTGTTATTGTCTTTTGGGTATTATTGTCTTTACACTTGTTAAAGCACTTTGTAACTTGTTTTTAAAAAGTGCTCTACAAGATTGTTATTACCACCAGCGACCAATCCCGAGCGACAAAACCGCAGACGACACCAGCGACCAACCACCAGTGTCCAACCCCCAGACGACACCAGCGACCCACCACCAGCAACCAGCCACCAGCATCCAACCCCCAGACACCACCAGCGACCAACCCGCAGACACCAACCCCCAGAAACCAGCGACCAACCACCAGCGACCAACCCCCAGACACCAGCGACCAACCCCCAGACGACACCAGCGACCCACCACCAGACGACACCAGCGACCCACCACCAGCAACCTGACACCAGCGACCAACCCCCAGACACCAGCGACCCACCACCAGCAACCTGACACCAGCGACCAACCACCAGCGACCAACCCCCAGACACCACCAGCGACCAACCCCCAGACACCAGCGACCAACCCCAGACGACACCAGCGACCAACCCCCAGACGACACCAGCGACCCACCACCAGCAACCTGACACCAGCGACCCACCACCAGCAACCTGACACCAGCGACCCACCACCAGCAACCAGACACCAGCGACCAACCCCCAGACACCACCAGACACCAACCCGCAGACACCACCAGCGACCAACCCCCAGACACCAACCCGCACACACCAACCCCCAGACACCAGCGACCAACCCCCAGACGACACCAGCGACCAACCCGCAGACACCAACCCGCAGACACCACCAGCGACCAACCCCCAGACGACACCAGCGACCAACCCGCAGACACCAACCCGCAGACACCACCAGCGACCAACCCCCAGACGACACCAGCGACCAACCACCAGCGACCAACCCGCAGACACCACCAGCGACCAACCCCCAGACGACACCAGCGACCAACCCCCAGACGACACCAGCGACCAACCACCAGCGACCAACCCGCAGACACCACCAGACACCAATCCCCAGACACCACCATGGACCAACCCGCACACACCAACCCCCAGACACCACCATGGACCAACCCGCAGACACCGACCCCCAGACACCACCAGCGACCAACCCGCACACACCGACCCCCAGACACCACCAGCGACCAACCCGCACACACCGACCCCCAGACACCAGCGACCAACCCCCAGACGACACCAGCAACCCACCACCAGCGTCCAACCTATAGTTCACCTAATAAACACACTTCAAACTCAAGCTTGACGTTAGCAATAATCTTTGAAACTTATTAAAATTAATCACTGAAAAAGGAAATTACACCACATACATTTACATGTCTAAACATTTCCAGTCGTTATCTTTAGATTTTGACTTGTACGTTGTAATTACTTGATTTGAATCATGAATTTATTAATTCATCTGTAGTGTTTCAGAAAAAGAAACCATAGACATGAAGGAAAGAAGAAAAGTCCTCAGAGGAGCAGAACAGGAGCCAGTTTAAGGTTTTAGGAATGAAAGAGGAGATTCAAGCTCAGAACAAACGGTCCTGAATCTGATCAGAGAAAAGATTCAAAACAGAAAACCCAATGTCCAACGTGTTACTGATGATACCTGGCTAGTATCGTTTCATCATCGCAGTACTTCTACTTTGATGTGAATCTTCTTCCAGCGCTCCTGAAACCAAGGAACCACTTTCTCAGAACCTAACCAGCCGGTCCCAGGGCTGTCCTGGTTGGACCCACCTGTAGCTGATGGAGATCACTGAGCCGTCGTGTCTCAGCAGGTCCAGATCAGATCGTCTTTCTGTCTGTCCATGAAAGTCCAGGTGAAGAAAAAGAACAGCTCCTCAACCAATCAGCTCCCTCGTCTGTCCTCCAGCAGTCCCGTTCAGGTCCAGTTCAAGGGGGCAGAACCAGGTCTACTGCTGGTTTTCTGATGTTTTGTCTTCCCTGTGATGTTTTGACAATGAGAGAAACACCTGAACTGCTCTCTCTCCCTCTCTACCTGCCCCCTCCCCCCCAGGTCTCTAATAGCGCCTCATTAGTCGTCTCGCTCTTTTCTTTGGGGAATGTTTCTGTTTTCCTCTCTTGTCACTTTGCTGCCTGACAACCAGCAGCCAGATTCACAAACACAAACTCCCCTGGAGGTTTTCTCATGGTCTCAGTCTTGGACTCTGTTAGACCAGAACTGGGTCTGGACCAGCACACAGGAGGTCAGGAGACACTGAAGTAACAGAACCCTTACTGCTGGACAACACACTCACACGATAAGCTGCTCAGATTTGTCCCTCAGCTCCTCAGAATGACTCATAGTTCAACACATTACATGGAGTAAATGGAGATCAGAGGAAGTGTCCCTGGGTAAAGACACTGAAATGCTCCTGAATGAGTTTGTGGAAATGTCTGAGTGTTTGTTGTACACTAGTATTACTTTATTATAAGTACATTTCTCTCCGTCTGTCCCCACGATGGCAGCCTGCAGGTAGCAGCATCTCCTTCCCTTTCTCTCTCCCCCCCCCCATCAGATGGACATGACTCATGAACTTTCATCTTTATAAGTATTTGTTAGTTTGATATTTATTTTAATGTATATTTTAAACGCTTTATTTTGTATATAAATGATAAATTCTTGTGCGTCTGCACTCACTTTTGTTTCCCCCGTGTGGGATAAATAAAGTTTCTTAACTTGTTGTTACTGAATTTTACATATTTCACTGTTTTCCCCTAAATGTTCCGTTTCATAATGTTTCCATTCTTCCTGATGTATTTTCCGCATGCTGTCCACACACTATACTGTATCCAGGACATTAAATACATGTGTAAGGGTCTGTTGCATTTGTCTCCACCTTGTGGCCCCTTTAAGTCACTGCACGGTCACAGTCAGCAGTCATGGTAAGAAGCTGCTGCTGCAGTCAACGGTTCTGTGGAGGTAAAACTGGTTTTCAAGTCAACTTTGCTTTATTAGTTTTTCTGCCTTCAGAGAAGAAATTGACTATTTAACTCAAGACACAAAAACAAAACTATTCTCCTCCTTCAGTGGCCGGACGGCCCAGACTCTCCACCTTCCAAAGACTTCAACCTGAGGCGGGAAAAAACAAAACAGATTTACAAGGTTTGAGTAGGTCTAAACCAGACCCAACCCTGACAGTCTAAACTGAGGGTTTAACAAGAAGGATTAATGGGTTCTAACCAGATCCAAACCAGACCTAACCCGGTCTCAGATCAGACTGACCTCTGCAGATGTTCGTCGCAGAAGGAGCCCAGTCGCTGCATCTCTGACTGGATAAAATTCTGAAGGACACAGAGGGACACAGTCAGTGACTGGAACAGGTCTGAGGTTTAGACCTGCTCTAATGCATTACAACTTTACTTCTTAGAAAGATTAGAACGTTCTTCTTGAGCCACAGCTGCCTCTGGGACTCTCCGGTCAGAGTCTGTTCCAGACGATTCTTCTTTTCTGGAAACTTTTTCTTTCAGTTGTGACTTTGTACTCAAAATATTCCAACTTGGTCTAAATATTTAAAATGTGAGATGCCGCCTTGTATGGAGTCCTGACATGCTGGGTGACCAATAGGAGCACAGAGCTCTTTCAAAACATCGCCATTTTGAAACTACGTTATTAAATCATGCTAATGTTAGCTAAGAAGTTAGCTAAAATACTAATAGATACCCGTTAGCTAGCCAACTCAGCAAGTATTCAAAACGCCAACATATTTAAATATTTTATAAATACATGCATTTGTGGATTTCTACCACCTTTTATTAAAACCTGAAATATTTGTGTGCATCAGAAACACATTTGTGGACCTTAGATCATGTACAGCGATAATGTTTTTGTGGAGAGTCATTTACATATAATCTAAAATGCATTAGTGAATCCTTCTGTGAGACTGATCCGACTCCGTGGTAGTACATTAGTAGTATTACTGCAGTTTCTTCCAGTACCAGGATCTGTGTGTTTATGGCATTCAGGCTGGTTGAGTTTTCTTGCAGTCGGTTCAGCTGATCAGTGACGCTGTTCTCGAACGTCTGCAGCAACACACACCTACACACACACACACACACACACAAACACTTTAATTACTATACAGTATTTTATTTAGCAACAAAAGATTTAAGTTAGATTTTTCATCAGTGTTCTCCGTGTTTGACTGGTTCAACACCTGTGTGGGTGGAGCTATAAAATAATTCACTCTTCAGGTCCAGCAGACACTCGGAGAGTCACAGCTGGTACACGTTGGTACTTGTTTCTCTGACTAAACACATTTGTATGCAACTGTGTGTTTATGTATGTAGCTGGGTGGTTGCTAAAATGCATTTCTCAATCACCATTATTATAATGCTGTACAAACATTATGTTTTGTGAGAGTATGCTACAAGTCAAACAGAATGAAAGTATTTTTACTTTGGCTCTTATTCTTTCCTTACTCTTTGCTCTGACATGAAGTATATCTACAGTCAGCATATAACAAAGGGTAATTACATAAATACATTGCTAAGCCACTAAAAAGGGTTGCTTAAGTGTTTATTGTGATTATTATTTTAAATGTACTCAAAATGCTTGCAAATTCGAAAATGTTGTTCAAACTAGCTAACCCATGCCCCACTCTCTGACAGACTCTGGTCAGGGTGCTAATGGCACCGTTGGGACGGAGCCTGGCCCGGGTACCTTGGGGGGTTCTGAGCCGCACACAGGACCAGAGCCCGTGGTGATCAGGAAAGACTCACATCAAGAGACTCCCTGTAGCCCAGAACTAGGCACTGAAGCCACAAAGACAGCCGTCTTGTTGCAGTTCTACAGTCGAGGTGTGCACTGCAGATCTACAAACAGAGAGAAAAGAGTGGGGTCCTCCCTGTCTATTTCTTTAAGTTTATGACCCTAGGGTTCTGTGCAAACTGGGGCTTATGGAAAATAACTAAGTTTCTCTTTGGGTGGCAGGTGTGTGAGTGGGCGGTACCTGTGTTTGTGGACCGTACCTGTGTGAGTGGGCGGTACGGTGTTTGTGGACGGTACCTGTGTTTGTGGACGGTGTGTGTGAGTGGGCGGTACCTGTGTTTGTGGACGGTACCTGTGTTTGTGGACCGGTGTGTGTGAGTGGGCGGTACCTTTGTTTGTGGACAGAGGTCAGCAGTGAAGAGACACGTTGCTGACACTCTCTTAGAGACTGAAGAACTTCAGTTTCGACGTTCTGCCAGATGCCCTGAAAATAATTTAATTACTTTTAGTTGACCGGCCGTGGCACTTCTTGATCAGCCACACAACCAGTCAATAATCAGATTGTAACTGTGCGTGTACTGACAGTGAAGTGTTGTTCTAGTTGTGTTCTGAAGGTGTTGAAGGCAGCTGTGATGCTGGTGGTTAGGCCTGACTCCACCCCTGCATCCATCACAGGCCCCTCCTTCTCAACATGTGGTTCAGCCCTTCATCAGGCAGCCCTGCCTCCTCCTCTGGTGGCTCCGGCCCCTCAGGTGACCCCTCTGAGACCAGCGGCGAGTTCAATCTCTTTGTCGGCGCTGAACCCGCCCCAGGTGAGCGGCAGATTTATAAAACAATTCAGGTTCAGATAAAAATTTAAGGCTCAAGACTTCTACTACCTGTCAGGAATGAGTTTGACTCCTCCCCCTCTGGCTGAGGCTCCGCACCCCTTTTGTGGGCCAAAGGGCCCTCAGTTTGGTCTGACAGGTAGCCTTCACATAGAGAAACAAAACTTTAATTATTCCCTCCATTTCTGCCAGGAACAGAATGAACAGATGAAATCTTAAGATTGACAAAATTAAAATTTTACTTTGAAGCATTTGTCATCATTTTGAATTGCCATCAGTTTATTTGATTTACTTACTGTTCGTTCAGGATCATGTGGCAGTGGTACAATAATAAAGGCCTTAGTCTTTAACTGGTGTGCAATGCTGATCCCAGGTCAAGAAAATACAAACTTCCTTCTTTTATTTGCTGGGGGGGTGATGTCTGTTTGCAACGGCATAGTCTATCGACCCAACACTAATCTATAATCGACTACTTAAACCTGTGTCTGTTTAAGTAAAAGGATTCTCTCCTGTGTTATTCTGTTTTTATCATTGAACTTCTCAAATTTCCATAGTTCTGGATCATTGAATTAGTGAATTTATGTTTTCAATAATGGAGGGAAGAAACAACCATTATAATCAACCCAAACTACTAGAATGATGAACAGAAGAAGAAGAGCCTCTGACTGAGTTCTGTGAGTTCAATTAGTCTAACGAGGAAGATCAAACTGTTCATAAAGACCTGAGTCTGGAGCGGATCTCTTCCTTTCAGAACTGAAGACTTCCTGCAAACAGAAAACAGATGAACAGATGAGAACAGGTGATAGGCGGGAGACAACAGATGATAGGCGGGAGACAACAGGGAGAGAACAGGTGATAGGCGGGAGACAACAGGTGATGTTTTTTTACAGAAGAATAAAAACAGGAAACAAACCTTTTTTTTAGGAGAGCTGCCTCCTCCAAAGTCATCTGTCTGCTCCTGAGAGATTTGTAGCTCCGCCCCCACAGGATCACCTGAGAGAGACCCATTCAGAGCACTGACCTTCACCAAGTTTCTCTGTAACTGATCCAGACTCGATGCAGCCTGTAGGCCAGTGTTCACTGTCCTCCGGCTGTCTCTCAGCTTCATTAGCTCACCGCTAATGCTAACAACGTTTCCTTCACAATCCAAAAACATCTGGATCTTTACCCGGTAGGTCCGTTCATTAGGGGTCACGCCCCACACGGGCCCCACCCCCAGATGACAGACAGAGGGTGTAATTCTTCTTGTTCATTAGACCCACCTGAGTTTAGATGGGAGCAGTTTGGAGAGTCTGTGGGGTGTGAAGGCGTGGAGTATCGGATCTGGTCAAACAGAAGCTCGGCCGTCTTTCTGGCTGGAGTCTGAAACAGAGAACAGCTTCCTGTTGAACGTCTTCACACTCTTTCACTCCATCGTCCACAGTGTGTTCACAGAGCAGCTACCTTCATCACAGAGGAGTCTTCTTCACTGCTCGCAGATGACAGAGGCAAGACTGGAGACAGACACACAGAGAATCAACAGACAGAAGATTCTTCAGTACCATCATCATCTCCACACCGCCGGGAAACACAAAGTACAGGTCCTGTGGACTCCTTCCGCTTCCTGGGCACCATCATCTCCCAGGACCTCAAGTGGGAGCTGAACATCACCTCCCTCACCAAGAAGGCCCAGCAGAGGATGTACTTCCTGCGGCAGCTGAAGAAGTTCAGCCTGCCAAAGACAATGATGGTGCACTTCTACACCACCATCATTGAGTCCATCACCTCCTCCATCACCATCTGGTACGCTGCTGCCACTGCCAGGGACAAGGGCAGGCTGCAGCGCATCGTTCGCTCTGCAGAGAAGGTGATTGGCTGTAATCTTCCTTCTCTTCTGGACCTGTACCGATTCTGAGATCCTCGCTGCATTGCATGCGTGGCCCCAGCCCCTTGGGGCTTGGCCACTAATTACATTTTATTTATGAAGCTCCCAGAGACAGCTGGACCATCACAGTTACAATACAGAAAAAGAACAAAATCATCAACCAGACTCCATTTATAAAGATGCCATTACGCCTCCAGGACTCTGAGGCGAGCAGGAAAGATTGTGGCCGACCCCTCCCACCCCAGACACAGACTGTTTCAGACTCTCCACTTGTGGTTGGAAACCTGCTGAGCAGTAAAGCTGATTCTGATGTTGGTCATTTATTATTAAATTCAGTCTGTTGGCTTTATTCCAGATTTCAAAGTGAATGTCGGAGGAGCTCATTCTATTTGTGACGACTTTAGAATAATTATAATCTAAGGACAGACTCACTCTTCAGCTGACTCTTGCTCTGTGGTTTCTTCCTGCTGTAGGATCTAACAGTCTGCCTGGCTGCTGAGGGGGACACCTGGACCGTCCCACCTGGGTCTTTAAGGCGGGGGGAACTTTTTACTTTCTGTTTATACAGAGAAGGAGAACAGAGGCAGCAGTCAGACCACGAACCATTATGGGCGGGCGGGCAGATAGGCGGACAGGTACCATGAAGACTCTCCAGCAGCTCCTCCAGCTCTCGGTGGTGTTCAGAGTCAAAGTTCAGCTCCACTGTCTGACCTCTGCAGTTGTGGTGCATGATGGGATTGTTGAGCCGGACCCTGAGGACTGTCTCTGCCCCAGTGCATCCTGGGAAACATACACACACACAGTATTACTGTCCAGATGTTCAGCAGGAGAAACACCTGCAGGGACTGAACGCAGAAGAGAAGCGTTTTACCGTCACGTTTCACCTGGAGACTGTAATGATCCACGTCTCCCTCAGCAGGTGGGGGATGGACCCCCACAGGAAACCCTGAGACACAGGAAGACGTCAGGACACAAAGCAGTCTCCGTCCTGATGGTGGAATGAGCTACCACACGCCATCAGAGCAGGGGCGTCCCTCTCCAACTTCAAGAAGCTCCTGAAAACTCTGCAGAGAACACTTCCTCTGATAACACCTCAAACAATGCACTTCCTGCGCTCTTCTGGCCGTCAGAGGAACTGCACTTCAACACAGTTCAACCCGAAGCCTCAGAGTCACGCACGCTCTCTATAACACAAATAAATAGCTACAGCTGTGGACAAAAACCACGCCAGTCCAGCATGCAGCATGGCCAGTCGTAAACATCTACACTGAACAGGAGTTTGAATTAAGGTTGTAAGGACAAAGTTTTACTGCTCAGCTGTCACCTATTCCTTAATCGTCTGGTTTATTTACTGTTTACTACTTACTCTCACTCAACATTCAGGTGTCAAGTCATCTCTGTAGTACGACTGTATATTACTACACCTGTGCAGTACTGAGGCTCATCGATGAAGAAGCTCACACATCCTGAGCCGGCGTTGAAATCTATCCAGAACTCGTCTAGTTTGTCGTCTTTAGGACGAAACAGCTGCAGAAGAAAGAAGAAGAGGAGGAGGTCTGGAGTCTGCAGAGATCTACTGTGATCATAAAGGCTCGGGTGTTTACCTGTGTGGAGTCAAGGAAAGCTCGCAGGCAGGGGAAGGTGTAGACCCTGACAGACAGAACGCAGGGACAAAAATCACATACAGCTTTCACCTTCATCCTTATGTTCAGGTCAAATGGGGGGGGGGGGCACCTCTGCTGGTGTCCATGGTGACTGTTCACAAAGTTCAGGAACCGGCGACAGTCCTGGGGGGGGGGGGGGGACAGAAGATTTT